ATCTTCTCCAAGTCATTAATGTTTCGAGGCTGACGCTTGGCAACTCGAACCTTCAGCTCCCTCCACAGATTTTCTATGGGATTAAGGTCTGGAGACTGGCTAGGCCACTCCAGGACCTTAATGTACTTCTTCCTGAGCCACTCCTTTGTTGCCTTGGCCGTGTGTTTTGGGTCATTGTCATGCTGGAATACCCATCCACGACCCATTTTCAATGCCCTGGCTGAGGGAAGGAGGTTCTCACCCAAGATTTGACAGTACATGGCCCCGTCCATCGTCCCTTTGATGCGGTGAAGTTGTCCTGTCCCCTCCATGTTTGACGGTGGGGATGGTGTTATTGGGGTCATAGGCAGCATTCCTCCTCCTCCAAACACGGCGAGTTGAGTTGATGCCAAATAGCTCCATTTTGGGCTCATCTGACCACAACACTTTCACCCAGTTGTCCTCTGAATCATTCAGATGTTCATTGGCAAACTTCAGACGGGCATGTATATGTGCTTTCATAAGTCCTTCACGGCGTAGTGTGTTACCAATTGTTTTCTTGGTGACTATGGTCCCAGCTGCCTTGAGATCATTGACAAGATCCTCCCGTGTAGTTCTGGGCCGATTCCTCACCGTTCTCATGATCATTGCAACTCCACGAGGTGAGATCTTGCATGGAGCCCCAAGCCGAGGGAGATTGACAGTTCTTTTTGTGTTTCTTCCATTTGCAAATAATCGCACCAACTGTTGTCACCTTCTCACCAAGCTGCTTGGCAATGGTCTTGTAGCCCATTCCAGCCTTGTGTAGGTCTACAATCTTGTCCCTGACATCCTTGGAGAGCTCTTTGGTCTTGGCCATGGTGGAGAGTTTGGAATATGATTGATTGATTGCTTCTGTGGACAGGTGTCTTTTATACAGGTAACAAGCTGAGATTAGGGCACTCCCTTTAAGAGTGTGCTCCTAATCTCAGCTCGTTACCTGTATAAAAGACACCTGGGAGCCAGAAATCTTTCTGATTGAGAGAGGGTCAAATACTTATTTCCCTCATTAAAATGCAAATCAATTTATGACATTTTTGACATGCGTTTTTCTGGATTTTCTTGTTGTTATTCTGTCTCTCACTGTTCAAATAAACCTACCATTAAAATTATAGACTGATCATTTCTTTGTCAGTGGGCGAACGTACAAATCAGCAGGGGATCAAATACTTTTCTCCCTCACTGTAGCCACCGTTATTATATGAGAGAGACAGACACAAACTCCGAATATACAGCAGCAGGCAACATCAGGGTCGGGATCGAACTCACGACCTCCTGTATACCAGGCGAGGTAGTTAACATCTCCTAGCCACTGCTGCGACATAGGTCGCTCGGGAGGGGGGGGGGTCATAAAGGGTTGGTTCAACAAACCAAACCCACCTATCGAGGCTAAGATCCTGGATCAGGATCCGGGTTTCAGCCACCCGCGACTAATCCGTTCTGTCAAGGTTACGGTGAGTTGGTGATCTCAGCTTCGCTTACCAATGACGGCATAGCAATCAAGCACGCGCACACAAACAACACATTTCGGTCGAGTTGAATTTCCCAGTTCCCGTAATTGACGGCGCGGATTGTTCCAGTTGCAAGTTAAAACAATGGAAGAACACATGGATGCCACCATCCCTCCCGTGTTCGGTCAAATTAAATTGGGCGCCGCGATGGTGAGATGTTAACTACATCGCCTGGTATGCAGGAGGTCGTGGGTTTGATCTCGACCCTGACGCCTGCTGTGGAGTTGGAGTTTGCGCGTCTCTCTCTCTCCGTGGTCGCGTGGACTTTTCTCCAGATACTCCGGGTTTTCCCTCCACATTTAGAAACATGCAATTAGAGTATTTGGCTGCTATAAATGTCCAAATGATAAGCGACTTCATTGGGCTGTCACATGTGGCCAGCACGCTTCTGGAAAATAAAAAATAAAGCTATACAGCCCTGTGGGCTTTACCTGGTAAAATAAACAAGTTTAATTTTTAAGTGCTACTTTTGCAGAAGTCAACAGCAGTTGTCCCATCTGGTGGGGAGATTCGCCAATGCTCCCCCTCCCCCCACTCCATAGAATCGGAATCTTAACTTAAACCTAAGGAATCCGATGAGCTATGAAGCTCTCCACCCCCCCCCCCCCCCCCAACAGATGTCCAGTGTGTGATGGGCGCCGAGGTCAGCCAAGACGTTTTGAGAGAAATGTCACCGCCCGCTCAGGGCCATAAACGGATGAGCTCCCGTCGGAGCGGGAGACACTTTGAACGCGGAGACACGGATCGTCAACAGAGTTGCGTGTCGCGCACGGCATAGTCAAAGTTCAGACTCAAACCCAGTGCGCTTGGAGCCGGAGCCGGGAGGGTGCGTTAATCGACACGCACCCCGCTCGTGGTGCGGCTGGCATCGAGTTACGAGCACTTTGAGCGTCGAGTGTCACGACTACGTAGCTCAGGGCGTGCGAGCCCCGCCCCTCTTAACGACCACCCCTGTTAACGACTAATCCGCTTAACGACGGGCCTCCATAGAGCCCAATGTTTAGTGTATAGCAGTGTAGTGCATAGTAGTGGAGTGTATAGTGTAGTGTATAGCAGTGTAGTGCATAGCGGTGTAGTGTATAGTGTAGTGTATAGTAGTGTAGTGTATAGTAGTGTAGTGTATAGTAGTGTATAGTAGTGTAGTGTATAGTAGTGTATAGTGCAGTGTATAGTAGTGTAGTGTGTAGTATATAGTGTAGTGTATAGTAGTGGTGTATAGTAGTGGTGTATAGTAGTGTATAGTGCAGTGTATAGTAGTGTAGTGTATAGTATAGTAGTGTATAGTAGTGTAGTGTATAGTGCAGTGTATAGTCGAGTGTATAGTAGTGTAGTGTATAGTGTATTGTATAGTAGTGTAGTGTATCGTAGTGTAGTGTATAGTAGTGTAGTGCATAGTAGTGTAGTGCATAGTAGTGTAGTGTATAGTAGTGCAGTGTATAGTAGTGCAGTGTATAGTAGAACAGTGTATAGTAGTGCAGTGTATAGTCGTGCAGTGTATAGTAGTGTATAGTAGTGTATTGTATAGTGTAGTGTATAGTAGTGGAGTGTATAGTGTAGTGTATAGCAGTGTAGTGTATAGCAATGTAGTGTATAGTGTAGTGCATAGTAGTGAAGTGTATAGTGTATAGTAGTGTAGTGTATAGTAGTGTAATGTATAGTAGTGGAGTGTAAAGTGTAGTGTATAGTGTAGTGCATAGTAGTGTAGTGCCTCTATAGCCCAAAGTTCGCTTACCGACCAATCCCCTGTTAACGACGGGCTGTTGTAGGTACAGTAAATATCAATTAATCCATTCATTATCCGCGTTTCTTTCCATGTTGTGTGTTCATAATGTTGTTAGTATATTTATGTATTAATATCCATCGATTGAATATAAAATTATTCTTTGGGGGGTGAAAAAGTGGGGGGGGGGGGGGTAACTTTTGATGCTATCGGAACGAATACCTGCGCATTCCCTATACTCGCTTACTGACCAAATCACTGAACGACCGTCGTTAAAAGGTAAGGGGGGGGGGGTTCTTTATTTAAATGTGGAGACGCAGTGACGCGAGGGAAACGTATCGTTTGCCGATTCTGTTTGGGGGGGGGGGGGGGGTTTAAACCAGGCTACCAGTGATGCCACTTAAAAAAAATTAGCGTCGTGCCTCGAGTCCATCACACGTTCACTTATTAATGATCGAAAACGAGTCGCGCAGACTTAAAGGGAATTTAACCGGGGTTGCATTTTGCCCTCTCCACCCCTCCCAATATAAATAGCGACCTGCCGCTCCCGTTACCCTGGAGACAAATCCGCGAAGACCCTACAAAGTCCAACTTGGGTTGGTCTTACACGTGCACGTACAGCCCTATGCAAATCCACTGCTGAGGCTTTTTTTGACTCTCACTTCGCCACGGCCAGGTCACAGTGTGGGTTGAAGGCGAGTAACCGAAGTTGTACAGCACAACGCGATTTGCTCTACTGGCACCAGCCGATAACGTTAAGTTCCCGAAGAAGCCGAGAAAACCGAATTAACGTGACACATTCCGTCTCGACACATACGAAAGGTTTAGCCAGGCAGGCTGTTTGTTGGCTTTCCAGAACATTGGACGCCACGATGGCGAAGGAGGACGTCGGTTCGATCCCGAGCCCGAAGCCTGTTGTATATACTTGAAGTTTGTGTCTCTCTCTTCCCGTGGTCACGTAGATTCTTCTCCGGGTCCTCCGGTTTTTCCCTCCACATTTAGAAAGATGCGTTTAGAGAGTATTTGGCTGCTATACATTTCCACAAGCCACTTCGTTGAGCATTTCATATGTGGCCAGTTCGCTTCTGAAAAAAGAGCTATGTAGCTCCGCGGACTTTACCTGGTAAAATAAAAAAAAGTTTAGTTTATACGTTGAACTTCTTTCGCACCGTACGTAGCCAACCGTGCTAATCGACGGTGCAGGAGCCCCATGGACTTGCCGATGACTGGTACCAGAAGTGTTAAGATCGGCCCTCTGTGGAGGAAGCGGCTCGTGAAGGCCTCTATTGGTCAGTGCCAGGCTATGGGGCACGTTGAGGTTACTGGGTAGTTGGGAGGCAGTCGCCCTTCAACAACAATGGAGAACGGAGGAATGACGCTCACAACAACAATGAGCGGTGGCTCCGGGCAACTAAAACACAGCAAGTTGGCACCGCAGGGGAGGGGGCAACAGCTGGTGCGCATCTTGCCAGTCACCTCAGCCAGTCGATTCACTGCAACCGGGTCAGCCGAATATTATCACGCAGCGTTTGAGAAACCTCTCAACTGCATTAAACCTTTTGGGTTTAACATGCACTTAAGGGGCTACAGGCGATCGTCCGGTCAAGCCCCCACAATGGGCTTGATTTTGGCATTCGTCAATCACGGCCCCCCCCCCCGCCGCCTCCTCCTCCACGTGGCATTCGGCTCTGGGTGCCTCCAGAAACATCCGGGTGGCCACTGCCGTCGCCCACAACGGCGCAACTAGTGGATGAGGCGCTTGCCATTCCAGCCTTTGTTTAATTCAACAATCCGACTAATGTTGTGTCGAGTGAACAAATTTGTTTAGCAAAAAAACAAAGAGCGTGCAAAGGGCTATGCAGACAATAGGAAACAGCCGATCATGTTGTACATAAATACACCGACGACCGAATTCTACAGATCATGAGATGCGCTTATCCCCCCCCCCTTAAGCCATTTGAAAGCAAAAAACCAAAACAAAAAATGGGGGGGCGAATCTTAAAAAAAATGGGGGGCAGGTTACGTGGGTGTATTTGTACAACTTTATTGATACCGAGCACACGTTTAAGGGTGCGGGGTCTTACTTTGCAGAGTATTTTATAATCCAAACAATTATGGTATATCTATGTTCCGCAGGCGCATGTGGGAATCCAGAAACACTTCACCGGGACCAAGCTTGCCACCTATAGCCCCCTCCCCCCCCCCCGAAAGGCAAAACATTACGTGCCAAAACAAAACCACACGTGCCAAAAGAAAACCACACACATCAGCTGCCCAAATCATTCCACTGGAGAGCTTCAAAATATGCGAGACTTAAAAAATACCGCGTTGGAAAATGGCACGACAGTACCAAGCCGTCGGCAGCTCTGAGTACTTTCATTCATCATTGGCACACACAAACGAGCGGGGGCGGGGGGGGAGAATCTTCCGTGCGTCCTGTGACCGGTCTCACCACCGGCTCAGGCGTCCCGGGTCTCATCAGTGTACGTGGCTAGCGGCGGCGGCAGCTATGGAATTGCGTGCAGGCAGGCAGGCGAAACTGCAGGGCCCCCCCCCACCGCTCCCCCACCGCGCCAGCTACGCAGAGCGGTAGAGGAGAAAATGAAGACACGGGGGGGGGGGGGGGGGGCAGTTTATATTTGTTGTGCCAGGGCCAGTGCCGGATTATCCTCGTAGCAAAAGTAGCTACACATGCTACGGACCCAGCACTTTCAAATGGTTTCAAGCTATCAATTTCGGTTCAGTGATTCTGCACTTGCTCTATTAAAATAGTGCTATACTGCCTTAAACTTTTATGAACGACTGGGTGTTTAAGGTTAACGATTTGTCGGATTATCTGGCCGTACAGCAAATGAAAAAATACAATTCACGACGCAAGTTTAAAATGTTTTAATATTTACGTGTTTTTTTTTTTTAATTTATGGCCCCTTTATAACATATGCTACAGGCCCCGCACTAGCTTCATCCGGCACTGGGCCAGGGGCAAATGGCAACCAAAAGCTACACTACCGCGTTTGGCCCGACTCGCTCGCTCGCCCGCTTGTTTTGTCCCAATCATATCTTCGCGTGTTTGCACTCGACTGTAACGACAGGGGAATTTTAAGCCTTAAACCTCGATAAAAGCAGTAACACCAATTTACACTGATCGGTGCTAAAGGCCTGGGAGCTGCTATTGCTGCTGGCCAATGGGAAAGTTCTCAATAGTGGGATATTTTGTACGACCTAGGACGGACTCCCTTACAAAGGAAAAAAAAAGATTCAGAAGGGCAATGGTTTATCTCTCACCTGCTTCAGTTAATCACATTCATTTATTTGTCATTCACTCACATTCAACAATTAGAAAATCTCAAAGCGTCCATAAAAACCAAACAGCACCACAAGAGTGTCCGCCCCCCCCCACGCCCCCCCCCCCCCCGTCGTTCCAGCATCATCAGAAACAGGCGGAGCAACCCCATCTTGCTTCCGCGTCTGCCGCGTGCGACAAAATCCGACGGTTATCTCGGGCAAAGTTGTCCACAGCGGGCCCTGTGGTCAAGAACCGGCCACTGCAGATGACCGAGACACACACACCGGTGACTGACGGTGAAGGTTCTGACAAGAAACGGTGGAGGCAGTGGGCCCTCGGGTGAGCGGGTAGTGGTGGCAGCGGCGGCAGTGGTCGGTGCGGCGCAGCCGACGAGCCGGTACGGAGGTGGGGGGCCCTTCAGAGGAGCCTCTCGAGTTTGGCCTGCAGCGAGCGGAAGCTGCCCACGGTCTGCTGCAGCTCCAGACTCTGCTCCATGGCCTTCAGCTCCATCAGGTAGTCGGCCATCAGGTCCAGGCAGGTGTTGGTGAACAACCGTCTACAACAACCCGCGCCCCAACGTTAAGGCGGCGAATGGGTGTTGAATCATAAATGAGGCAATGTCGTGTCCTGTTACGGCAGGGCAAGTGTGCCCCATATGCACGACGTTGTATCCTATGCACGAGAATAATAATGACGTACCGCCGTTTGTCACGACGACATTTCCGACGGGAAGACAGGTACCCAAGCACGTACGTATGTAGGAATGTCGAACTCTTTCACACCGCGTTATCGAAGAACAGACTGCACACACAACACGCGCGCGTACTAAAACGCAACACAAGACGCGTACGCGAGTCTCCACACGCAGCACACAGTAGGCCGCCAACACTGCCCCGCCCCCCCCATGCCGACGGAACGACCACGCGGCGGCCGACGCACCTCTCGCTGGGCGGCACGGTCTCCGGCTGCTGAAGGTACTTGTTCAGGATGGAGCGGATTGAATGCAGCAGGTGCAGCGGCTGTCGGAGCCGGTACCAGCACGTGTCCTGTGCAGCCACCCACACGTTCCCACGCGCAAAGATAAGATCTCCCGCAGAGCGTAAACTAAACACTATTTTTATTTTACCAGGTAAGGCCCACTGAGCTATATATAGTAGCTCTTTTTCAGAAGCGACCTGGCCATCACAAATGATAGCTCGACCAAGTGGCTTATCGTCCACATGGAAATTTTATAGCGACCAAGTGTTCTAAACGCATGATGTTAATTCTAAATGTGGAGGGAAAAATCCGAGGACCCGGAGAAAAATCCACACGGCCACGGAAAGAGACACGCAAACTCCAAATAGACAGCAGGCATCGTCACGGTCAGGATCGAACCCACAACCTCTTGTATACCAGGCCAGGTTAGTTAACATCTCTCAACCGCGGCGCCCTAATAAAGTAGATCGGAAGACCATTTATAAAATTTGAATCGTCACAACTGGCACACCTGAACTATTCTTGAACGTCTTTCGCACTATATGTAGCCAAACCGTGATAAATCGGAGGTGCACCGCAACCACCAACTTTCGAGCGCCATCACGGGGGGACCCTTTTGACGTCCAGCGCAAAGCAGACGGCACGTGAATATACACACACACCGCCGTGGTGAACAACACCCACGCAGTATTAACCAGGGCGGTCCCTGCTTTAAAAAACACCCACAACGCCGCGTTAACCAGGGCGGCCGCATGGTTAACAACACCCACACCTGAAGATGACCGTTTGAGTTATGGTTGAAACGTCGTGAGAATTTTTTTATTGTTTTATCTATATTTTATTATTTTGTTGTTTCTCTTCAACGTGACTTTACCGAAAAAACTAAGAATATGAACACCCACACCGTTTTTAACCAGGGCTGTCCCTGCTTGAAAACACCCACAAACGCAGAATTAGCCAGGGCGTCACCGTGGGCCGTCTCGGTCACCGCGATGAGAAACCCCCGCGCCAACGCCCCCCTTTATGGTCACCTTGGTGCGGAAGACCTTGTCGTAGGTGTGCAGCAGCAGCGGCAGGTCCGCGCCGACCTGCAGCAGCGTGTGCGGCACGAAGCCCTCGTCCCAGCCCAGGGTGCACACGTGCTGCTCCAGCGTCAGCACCAGGAACTCTGCGACACAAAGACAAGGAGTTCCCCCCCCCCGCACATCTGATCAGCGCGGTTGGCTATGTACGGCGCGAAAGAAGTTCAATATAAAAACAAACCATCACATCATTACCGTGACCACCATTAGCATCGCATCATCATCATCATCATCAAGCCACTGAAGATGTGCACCTTTAAATCATGTACATGGAAAGCTAATTTCTTTAAAACTGCTTTGTGCGTTTAGGTTGGCTACGTTCGGTGCAAAAGCAGTTATACATACACAGACTAATACAGAGATCCGTAGACTCACACAGAGATACGTAGATTCACACAAAGACCCATTTCTTGAGAACTGCTTTTAGTGTTTAGTTTGCCGTCCTTCCCCCCGCACCTCCGATTAGCGCGGTTGGCTACGTACGGAGCAAACGAAGTTCCACGTACAGCACATACATACATACAGAAGAACAACAACATTTTTCATATTCTTAGCTCTTTCGGTAAAGTCACGTTGAAGGGAAACAATAAAATAATAAAATACATATAAAACAACATTGCTGAGCAGTGCGGAGGACCCACCCAACGGAAAGTACTGTGGCGTGCTGCTGTAGCTCTTGCCCAGGGACACGAGCTTCTGGTTCAGCAGCTGCATGCGGTCTGCGGGGCTCCTGGAGATGCTCTCCTGCAACTCTGTGAGCACGGGGTGGGACGGAGCGGGGCAGAGATCAGTGAGATGGTGAGAGGGGGAGACCAGGAAGGGTAGAAGAAGCGCACTGGGAAACGCACCTCCGATTAGCACGGTTGGCTACGTACGGCGCTAAAGAAGTTCAACAGATTATCACAAAATCGATCATTGGTTAACAACCCCCTTTGCCCGAGTGGTGGTGGTGCGGTAGGAGTGTGCTGTTCTCCCATCCTCCTCCTCCTGCCTTTCTCCACGATGTCGCGCCACAGCGTTTGGACAAGGGTGGTGTCGGCGTGGCTGGCGCAGTGCAGGATGGCGAGCTTGCACTCCGACAAGTGGTACGGGTCCGCAAAATCCCCGTACAGCTGTTGACACGGCCGTGCAAGTGCACGCGCGCACACACGCGCACACACACGCGCACACACACGCGAGCGTGCTTTCGCAATGAGGAATTCAACGCAACACCACATTCGACGCAGTCAAATACAACCGTCAAGTCAAAACACTTACTCGACTCTTTGAGAGCAATCGGAGCGCTTATTCAGTCAGCTCCACATTAACAGTACATTTTTGTAATGGGGTGGGGTTGCCCAGATAAAATCAAAACAAATGTAAATCAGCCGTAAAAAATATGCATTTGCTTACCCACCACGTAGCCTGGGGTTGCAGACGTGGAATGCGTGGTATGTTTTCATTATAGCATGTGTGGTGTGTTTTTATTGTAGAATGTGTGGTGTGTTTTCATTGCTTACCGAAGTAATCGGTAACTGAGGCACGAGTTACTAGTCTGTGTTTGTCGGCTGGCCTCGGTACCTTCGTGTACAAGAAAACTTCAGCACTTGCTCTGTGTTCCACCGCCGTGCACAAGCCTCACTGACCGCCACATTCCCTCACGCACAATGAGCACGCTTGGAGCGACCTCTGCCACCTGCTGACCATTCTAAAATAATTCACCCCACATGGCCGCCTTAAAGTTTTGTTGTGGGTTTGCACCGATCGGTGACAAAAGCCCAGGAACGACTTTAACCACCCTCAGTAGTGTACAAAAGGCACAGATTATGGTGGGATAAATACCCTGTTCTCAATATTTATATTTTCACAAGAACGATGGATTGCCAACAGGGATAATAAATCTGCCCACGGATAACCGAGAGTTACACAGCCAGTCAAGTATGCAGGTATGTAGAAATTAATTCGCAACGTACGTAGCCAACCATGCTAATCGGAGGTGCGGGGGGGGGGGAAGGACAACAGACTAAACACAAAAATTAGTTCTCAAGAAATGGGTCTGTAGATCTCTGTGTGAGTCTATGGATCTCTGTGTGACCCAAGTATGTATGTTGAACTTCTTTCGCACCGTACGTAGCCCACCGTGCCAATCGGAGGCGAGGAGATGCACACGTTGTGCCGTTCTGCTGCCGTGTCACGTGTACGTACCTTGGTGACGTCCATCAGTTGAGAGTCCAGCTGCCTGAGTGCCTCTGCAATGCCGGGATAGGCGCCATAGCTCTTGCCGAGGGTCTTTTGGATATGCAGCTGAATCCGCGCTACCTGCTCAGGGCACAGCACACGCCACCCAGAGGACGCTTACCGACGTACGGAGACGCATATGTGACCGGCTCGCATACATATCATGATAAAAAAAATCGCCCGATGAAGCTGGTTGTAATTATCAACAAAACGTCACAGTACTCAAATTGTAAATGTTGTGGGTTTACTCTCCAACACACCGGCGTGCTGGAGTTGTAACCAACACGCACGTTTTGTTCACGTGACAAACCTTACCAATTGGCCGAGACGAGTGGTGGTGCGTTAACGACACGTTTACACTTACGCGATCTGACCCGAAAAAAACCTTCATCATGAATGTATCTCAAACCCAACTTTTTTCGGTCCTCTTTCTCAATGTTCCCTGCTATTGCTAAACATCGCTAATTTTTTTGCAGTTATTATATCGGAGATTTGTTACAAACAGCTCGAGCTCTTCGTTAGCATCTTCAGATTGCAGCGTGTGTTGTTTGGCATGATGTTTGTCGATTCGATCGGGCGTCTTCAGGAAGTAAAATGCTGGCATAATGCCGCAAACACATCGCAAGAGGCACATCCGCGATTTGTCCTGCCTAAGCCCACCTGGCTTTCGGAAACAGTTTAAAATTGTATTAAATGTACCTGTGTATGTTCCCTAATAGGTGCGTTCCTCTCTCTGTCTCTCAACGCAATTCTAAGCGTGGCTCCTACCTTGCCTCTGCGTTTTTTTGTTCAAAAGTTTTAGTTAACGACCGTGTATCTGTGGCACACGAGAGGGGTGGGTGGCCAGCACCACGCCAGGGCCTTTGTGTCTGCTTAGTGGCGATGGTTACACACCGCACTAGGTAATCATTTTAGGCCGAGTCAACCTAGGGAAGGAGGCCCAGGACCAATTAAGATAATCGTCACCGGCGTTGGTCGTGAGCGCGAATCGAACTCGGGTCGCCGGATTCGTAGCGCAGCACAGGACTGTAACTGCTAACACCACTACCCGCTGCCCACAACGGCCACCCCTCCCCTCCTCACCTCCATCTTCTCCTCCAGCTCGTGCAGAAACTCGCCGTCCGCGGCGTGGGGCGGCACGGTCGGCGAGCTCTTGGCGCTGAGGATGGCGCGGGCGAGGTACTCCATGCGCTGCTGCAACGTCACCTCCGTGCTGCGCGTGTTAAATGTGCGGGAGGGCGAAAACTTATAAGCCGAGAAAATTATCAAGAAGGCAGAGGGCCCCCCGGGGGTTATCGTTGCAAGAAAAAGCAGTCGGTACGGAATGGGAGAATTAAACTTTTACAGGCACATTGAGAAAGGGCCTCTGGCCAGTTGCATCGAACACTTTTTCCAATAACTGTGTTATTTTTTTGTGTTTAGTTGGCTGTCCCTTCCCCCGCATCTCCAATTAGCATGGTTGGCTACATAGTGCAGAAGAAGTTCAACGTACGCACGATATACACACAGCGATACACTCCGCTACTCCTGATGCGGTTATCTGGCTTGATCATCAGAATCTTGAAATTGTAGTTTGTTGCTCTGCATCTACGTCAGCCGTACGACAGAAGAAGAGGAAGAGGGAGAAGAGGGAGAAGAAGTAGAAGAACATGGCAGTGGTGGCGGCGGGCGCACCTGCTCATGTCGGAGAGGCGGGCGAGCACACGGGCCGCGGCACCGAAGGCGCCCGACTTCTGGTGGAAACGCCACAGCAGGTCCAGGTAGGTGAGCTTGTCCTGCTGCAGGGAGCTCATGCGCACCAGGTACGGCTGCAGGTACGGCGACGACACCTGCACGAGAACGTCCGGATGGGACGTTGGATAACATTCAAAAAACAAATCCCAAGCGGGAGCAATACAGGGTGTGTGTGTGGTCGTTTTTTTTTTTTCTCGTGGGAAAATTAGCCAAGTCAAATAACAAAACTGTCATGTGTTTGGCATCACAAGATGTCTGAATCTGGCTTGAGGCCAAGCAGGGCCAGGGGGTGGGGGGTCTGGTAAATCATTGTTGCCATACAAGAGGCTCAACCTGTTCATGTATGCGATGTCAGCAGCATGGCTTGGGTTCCGCAGTGGAAAAACCCAGTCATCGTCGCGATCATTACCAACGCCAACAACAATCCCCATTGCCTCCAACGTCATCGCCATCAACATTATCACACGCACCATCATCTTCTTCTCCAGCATCATCATCATCATTTTCACCTCGACCACCTTCATCATTATCTCCACCGTCGTCACAACTATCATCATCACCTCCAGCAGCTTGTCTGGGAGGCCAGCAGCCACGAGCCACTCGTAGAGGGAGATGTGGAAGAGCTCGTCTGTGCAGCGCTGAGCCAAACGAAGCATCTGCTCATACTGCACGGAGGGGGGGGACAGGGAGGGCCAGCAGCCAGCTTTGTCACATCACGCGTGACCACAGCTCATTGCTTATCGCTACTGCTGTTGAGTGGGTGTGTGTGCGCGTGTGCAGCGCTCGTGTGTGCTATCTGTGTGCAAACGTTGCCTGTGTACAAGTGAACACTGCCTGTGTTCGTGCGCTGCTTCCAACGGTGAGCAAAGGTGGTGCATCTCAGTTAACCGACAACACCTGGATCGGTCCTGTGACCTGCCAGCAAACCTTCAGATGCAGCACGTGGCCTCAAAGTGCAGCTAGTGTCGTCGGGACGTCACCGTCACTGTTGTTGTTGTGCACTTACACGCATGTATACGTTTGTATTGTTTTGTGTGTGTTCCTCTTGTGTTGTGAGGGGATTGGTAGTGTACCGGTTAGCGCGCTCCGCTACGAGCCCAGCTATGACCCGAGTTCGATTACCGCTCATGGCCAAACCCAGTGACGAATATCTCATGTGGTCCTGGGACTCTCCCCTAGGTCGACTCAGCTTCAAATGAGTACCGGGTGTGGTGTGTAAACATCGCCACCGGGGAGAAAAAAGCGGTCGGGAGTGGTGCTGGCCACCCATCCCCTCACGTGCCGTGCCGGCCTTCATAGGTGCTACTCGCCAACGGTACTTGTCCCAAAAGTCTGTTAAGGCTATAGGGGGGACCTTTGTATTTGTTCCTCACGTGTTGTGCAGCCTGCTCCGTGCTGGGTAAGGGGCTGGTGTCAGCCGGCGCGGCCGGTGGGCCCGGGTGCGACGGGACGCTCGGGGACTGGACGGGCGCTCGCGACGCCTGCACCAGCTCCTGAAGCATGTCCGTCACACAGCGATAGCACTCCAGCCTGCACCACACACAGGCACGCACATGTAACAACAACCACGGCATTCGCGCCAGGCTATGTGCACTACTTTAAGGCCACGTGGAGTGTCGAATGCCAGCTGGCAGGTCACAGTAAGGGGCAGGGGGGGGGGGGGGGTCCCTTACCGTTCCATGTACGCCTGGCGGCCCTGAGCGTCCTCGGAGGGCTCCCCGTTCTTGTAGAAGTGCAGGCCCAGACCCTGCGGGTCGAGCCTCTCGGCCGCACCGAGAGACAGCTCCAGGACACCCTCGTAGAACCGCACTGCACACGCAGCGGGGCACACGCGCACACACTCGCTCATTATCCATCATCCAATTAATGTGTCGTCATAAGCAGCGATGGCATACATTTTTACACTATATCTGTAAAAAAACTCTAAATTGATACCTCATTGGATTCCTCCAGTATAAATATTCAGATTCTATTCTGATAATGCTAAGTTTCCATGTGTATGAAACAGACGTGGGTTCGATCCTGATCCTGACCCTGAAACCTGTATATTTGGAGTTTGCATGTTCTTCAAGTGGTCGTGTCGATTTTTCTCCGGGTCCTTCCGTTTTGTCCCTCCACATTTAGAATCAATGCCATGCGTTTCGAGTATTTGGCTGCTGCTAAAAATTTCCACATGATGATCAGCCACTTCGTTGAGCTATCAGGTGCGGCCAGGTCACTTCTAAATGAGAGCCACATAGCTCAGTGGGCCTTACCTGATAACATAAAAAGTAGTTTAATTCTTCGTAGTTTTTCCATTTTAGTTGTACACCAAAGGCCTCACTCACCGTGCCGGTACTGGCTGCACACGAGCGGCAGGTCCACCTGGTGGCTGATGAGGCGGTAGAGCTGCAGAGATTCGCGCAGCGCACGCTCACGCTCCGCGCCGCCCAACTGCTGCCTCGACTTCTGCAGCAGCTCGTTGGCCTGTGTCGCGAGGACAGTCACGGATCTCGTTGCATCGTCTTCACACTCGGCGCCCAACCATTTACATTTGTAATACATGCCCGTAACTTAGCGCCAGATGATGACGGTGGTCGCACCTTGGAGCAGGTGACGTCATCGACGCTGTAGAGCAGGGGGCAGGCGGCACGCAGGTGCTGGCTGATGGAGTCCGTGGAGGCCAAGTCGCCAATGTAGCGGTTGATGAGCGCCGTGATGAGGCCGCCGGTGACGGCGTCACCCCGCAGCACCAGCTCCTGTAGGCTCATGGCCTTCAGGGTGTCGCGTATGTCCTGCACGCACATACACGGGTGAGTGTGTGGCGCTCCGAGAACTGGCTTGGTGAGATCATAAAACAATAACGAACATCCTCCGTTGTAGCCTTGTACAGGTTCGTGAGGGGAAGCGCTGTTTAGTGATCACATATTAAGGCCAGAACAGCGTGCAAATGGGGTAGTGTGATCAGCACCACTCCTGGCAGCCTTCGTCTCTCCAGTGCCATACAGTGAGCAAATAAACATCTTGTAAAGATTGGACATTGTACTCACTTCAGGATCAGTTACCCCTAGGGGAGAGGCCCAGGACTGGTTAAAATATTAGTCATTGATGTTGGTCGTGAGTGGGAATCGAACTCAAGTCACCAGGTTCACGGCGTGGTGCGCGAACCACTGTGCCACCACTCGTGAACCTCTCACACTCTGTTAAGGGGTTCTTAATTGTCAGGTTACAAAGACAAAGATCCCCCCGTATAGCCTTAACAGACTGTTAGGACAAGTGCTGTTAGCGAGCACCAATGAAGGCCGGCACGGTGGCACACGAGGGGGTGGTTAGCCGGTACCATTCCCGGCCGCCTTTGTCTCCCCAGTGGCGATGTTTACACATCACACCAGGTACTCATTTGAGGCCGAGTCCACCTAGGGGAAACCCAGGATCGGTTCAGATAATCGTCACTGGTGGTGGTGGTGGCCGTGAACGGGAATCAAACTCGGGTCGCCGGGTTCGTTACGCAGCGCGTTAACCGCCGCACTACAGACATTAAACCAGCAGCATTACCGAGGTCCATGATTCAAGCTGGATATGTTCTGTCCCTCAAGAGGCTCTTCATAGCTTGCTCAGACACAAGCAGCGAATTTGCTAATTCAAGACTTTACTTAATTAAATAGTCAAATTATCCACTTTAAATAATAAACAAATCGAACTCCTCCTACGACACAAACGTCTTTACGTCGGCGACTGCTTGGGGAAAAAAATGCCGAGACCCGGTTTCGTGCTTTCGGCGCTCCTCGCTAGACCACGTCGTAAAACGACTGGCCTCCAGCAACAGAGGCTCACCGGCGGCAGAGCGGCGGTGAGGATGGGCACGCCGTGCTCGCACAGCAGCTTCCAGAGCGCCAGCGTCTGGATGACGTGGTGCACCAGCGAGCCCACCTGCTGCAGGGAAGCTCGCTCGTGTGCCTGGGCCTCAGCTAGGAGGGGAGGGGGGTTTGGGAGGGTGGGAGCGGTGGGCAGGGTTGGTTGGGTGAGGGGGGGAAATATGGTGCGATATACGATTGTGAGCGAAGAGCATTTTACATTCAGTAAGTTCGGATTCACTTTGACCGAAACACAATCGACAATGTGTGGTAGCGGCAGCTTTCGGGATGCCTTCATCCAGCAGCGGATTGAACATGGCAAATGATGATGATGATCGTGAAGAAGTTATGATCAATAATCATTATATTTCTTTGTCAGGGAAATCTTCACCCTTACCATTGTACTTGCGCTGCATCTCCTGCTGCAGGTGCTGCCCTCCACCACCGTCCACCCGGGGGTATCCCAGCAGCCTCTGGGGCACGGCCGATGATGTGGCGAAACCACTGAGCACGCACAAGACAAAGACCCCCATATAGCTTCACAGACTGTTGGGGCAAAGTGCTGTTAGCGAGCACCTATGAAGGCTGCCATGAGACACAAGGGGGTGGGGTGGCGAACACGACACCAAACCGCCTTTGTCTTCCCAGTGACAATGATTTTACACACTGCACCAGGTGCTCATTTAAGGGTGAGTTCGACCTAGGGGAGGCCCAGGATCGGTTGAAATAATTGTCAAAGGTGTTGGCCGGGAGCAGGAATCGAACTCCGGTCGCCGGGTTCGTACCACAACGTGCTAACCGCTACACAACCGTTCAGCACACACACAAGTACACACGCAAACACACACACATTTTAGTGGGTTCGCAAAAAACCTACGTTAAGAAGCAGATATATAAACCAATTGACAAGCTGGTCCCTCCCAGCCACGACTTGTGCTGCTCAAGCCCAATTAACCATGGCGGCGAGATATTAACTATCTCGCCTGGTATACAGGAGGTCGTGGGTGGGTTTGATCCCCACCCTGACGCCTGCTGTATATTTGGAGTTTGCGTGTCTCCCTTCCCGTGGTCGCGAGGATTTTTTCCTCCAGATTCGACACGTGCGTTTAGAGAAATTGCCTGCTCCAAATTTCCACGTGATGATTAGCCACTTCATTGAGCTATCATTTGCGGTCAGGTGGCTTCTGAAAAAGACCAATATATATAGCTGAGGGGGCCTTAACTGGTTATATTAAATATCGTTCAACCAATTGCGGCGGTAAATGCTGGGCGGAGTAAACACTCGCACAAAGGATGCCGCGGCTGCCAACATTTAACGTGCATCCGACGACAACCAATAAGCACGGTTGGGCTATGAGTAGTGTGTACGTACGTACGTACGCACAACATGCGCGTAAAAACTTAAACCTCGCCATTGCATACCTGTCAACCAATACGGTTCACCCGCATTCTTGTACAGGGAAATTGAGTTCAGGTCCATATGGCGTACGGCTGTTAAAATACGGGCAAAAAAAAAAATGTGTCGATTTGTTTGCGTTTCTCCCTTGTGATGGGACTTTGTAGGATGAACGTTGAGATTTATAGGGGGCACGGGGTGACCAATCAGGTCTGAATTGGTCTGTAATAAGTTAGAGCACTGATAAGGGGTTGAGAGGTTTGCCACTGCTGCCAACCGCACCTGGTCAGGGAGGGGCCTGCAAACTGCGCGTCCTTGTCCAGGAATTCAACGAGGCCCTCGAGCCGAGTGATCATGTCGTCCAGTTGCGCCACCGCCACGGCACTGTCGAGCTGAGAAGGCAAATGAAAGCCGCTCTGTTAAGTCTGTGGTGGGTGGGGGTGGTTTAACATTATTTTTTTCTTTCAACAGCAGGTGCAGGATATAGCACAGCACCTGGGTGCACACAGCATGCAGACGACCAACAGCAACGTGCGTGAATAAACCAAGGGAAGACAAGGGTGTGAGAGAAGAGAAACGGAAAGGAAGCGCTGTATTTTATTATTACTTGAATTTACTCTACCAGGGTGAGGGCGGGGGTGGGGGGTTCCTCTGCATGCAAACAGCCCCTCCCATGACGCATGCAAAGGCACCGAAGCAAAACACTCACGGTGATGAGCTGCCGGTTGCCCTCCTTAATCGTATGCTCAAGAACCACGTTCCCGTCCCAGAAGTTGCTGCAACGAGAAATGAGGGTGGGATGATCGGACAAGGTTGGACCAGGGACGTGGTGTTACAGCCTGACTTGTTGGCGCTGTCCTGGCTGCCCCTGCCGCCCATGAGTTTCGTCGTCGTTCAAGTTGATGCTGGGTTCCAATATCTTCATTCCACACTGTGCTGTGGAGTTGCTGTCTCAATGACCGCACATTACAATGATGGTTAATGATCACAATCACGGTGATGACGACGACTATGATAACGATGATGATGACCACGATCATCGTGATGGGGGAAATTCATATAAACACGATAGCACGGTTGGATACGTACGGCGCGAAAGAAGTTCAACATACATTGATAACGACTCTAATTATGACGATAATCATAAAAATGATCATCACGATGGCAATGATGGCAATGATGACGACAATAATGATGCCAACGATGACGACGCATCGTGGTGATCATGACCCTGCGAGCAGGCCCGCTCCCCCTCACCTGAGGATGCGAGCGAGGTAGAGACACGTCCCATCGTGCCGGCCCGAGAACACTACCTCCGGGCCGAGCCCAGCACCAGCCGCGTCCGTCCCGGGCGCAGCGAGGCCGGCCTGTTGAGGGCTCAACACTTACGAGAAAGAAATGCACACAGATGGGAGAGGCGGTGACGGGGAAAGACAGGCAGTGTTAATACATCAGTTTTACAACTACTTGTTGTGTTTTACACACGGCATCAGGAATTCATTTAGGCCGAGCCGACCTAGCAGAGGCCCAGGACCAGTTTAAATATTCCATCACTGGTGCTGGCTGTGAGCAGCAATAAAACTCGGGTTGCCGGGTATGTAGCGCAATGTACCTCATAAAACCAGAATGGGAATAGCACACGAGTGGGTGGTGTGCCCGGGGCTACACTCGGCCGCCTTAATCCGTGACCTTTCCGTAAAGTAGTTATTTTCCCATGCCTCATCCGTGATTTTTTACTAAATACAGTAATACCCCGGTGGTTTACATAGGGCACGAGTTCTGAAAAAGTGCGACGAATATCGAATCGACGTGTATCAAATAAATTTCAAGGGTAAGGTGAAGACGAAGGCTGAGAGATGACGAATACGAGAAAAGACGGACGATGAAATTAGTGTACTTATGCAATTTGAACTTGTTTACCTTTACGTATTTATATTTAGTGATTTGCTTACCTTTCCTATAACTTTGCACTCACATCGTGTTTTGATATTGTTTGTTTTTGTAACGTTCACTTCTGTTGTGTTTTTGTATTGTTTGTTGTTGTAACATTCTGACTCGCCCCTACTGAAACATCTGTGGAAAAAAGAGCTTCATATAGCTCATAGGACGTCTCCACGATAAATAAACATTCTGATTCTGACCTCCTGCAGGCGACCGCAGCATAGTGGAGCTTGCGACAGGACTACCGAAGTTCAGCATGGTCTCTGGGAGGCAGGATCACAAACCAGGGGGAAAGGGAGAAAGGATAGTGGGGTTAGCACTGCGCTATGAACCCAGACACCCGAGTTCAATTCCCGGCCATGGCTAACACCCCCCACATGACCAAAGGACATGTGGGAGGCATTCATCCAGCAGTGGATCAACAGAGGACTTTTACACGTACAAACGTGTGCATCTACAAAGCTCAGTGCGGATGCTGGGGAGGAAAAGGAGGACAAAAAAAAAGTTTCTCACTCTGTGCCGAGGGGGTGAAGGAGGAACCCAGAGCGACCGCCTGAGGCAGCATGCCGGAGAAACGCATCTGAGCTTCTCCTCCATACCTGAAGCAGACACACACACGTCTAAATGCACACAAAGGCAAATAACCCCCCTATAGCCTCAACAGACTGCTGGGGCAAGTGCTGTTAACGGGTAGCACCTATGAAGGGCGGCACGGCACAAGAGGGGGTGGGTGGCCAGCACCACGCCCGACCGCCTTTGTCTCCCCAGTGGTGATGTTTACACACCGCACCAGGTACTCATTGGAGGCTGAGTCGACCTAGGGAAGGCCCATGACCGGTTCAGATAATCGTCACTGGTGTTGGCCGTGAGCGGGAATCTAACTCAGATCACCAGGTTCGTAGCGCAGCGAGCGAACCGCTACACTACTGATTCAGCACATATATGCAAAGACCCTCCCGTATAGCCTCACGAGACTGTTGGGGCAAGTGCTGTTAGCGAGCACCTATGAAGGCAGGCACGGCTCACAAGGGGGTGGGTGGCCAACACCACACACATACATATGTGCACACAAGCACACATGCATATGAATAAGCCCAAAAAAACCCTCTGTGTAGCCTTTAACAGACTGTTGTGGCACCTATTAAGGTTGCAACGCAAGGTTGTAACACTCGATTGTGATACACGCATCTCCCTCTGTGAGGGAGACACACATATACACACCCTCCGCATGTGAGGCGCACGTACCTGTAGAAAGCTCGAGCCGCCCACATCGACACCTCAGAATCGTGCGCCGCCCGTGAGCAAGCGAGAATCAGACAGGTGGCACACGCCTGGTCCTCCTGCACATGCCCAGCGTCAAACACAAAGTGTCACACGCCACAGTCAGTACACAGAAAAAATGAAGAAGTACAAACACAACACAAAACAAACGAGGCGGCAAGTACTGAACAAGGCGGCACAAAAGAGATGAGAAATAATCCATTCCCGAATCAAATCAAGACCCTCACAAATGGTGACAACTCGTCGAATCACGGGCAAAGAGGGCAAATTGTTACACGCCTAGTCCTAGTGAATGCAAGGTTATTGGGTCAGGGGTCGGGGGTCAGGCGGGGGACGTACGTGGTGCAGCTGGAAGAAGCGCTGCAGGTCGTCGCTCTCGCCACCGGCGGCGCTCACCAGGAGGTGTCGCAGTTGCTCAACGGGACGCAACTTCTGGAAAAGGTAGCTTCCCTGCAGGCAGCACAGATGGAGGGTGGAATGGGGCGGGGGGGGGGGGGTATAACGAGCATGATAATTCGCAACAACAATCACCAAGAGCATCAGCATCATCAATAATCACTGCCGCAACCAAAAACGTTAACATCGTCGCAATCGTCGACATCACCCTTGTTAGAATCAGAGGCCGCATCATCACCGCAATTACCGATATAATCACTATCATCACCATCACCACCATCATCATCATCATCACAATCAATATTCACATCATCACCAAAACACAACGTTTATCACCATCACCACCACCAACCATAATTTTTGCCGTCATGACCACCATCATCGCCATCGCCAACACCAACACCACCGTCATTATCATCGTCACCATCTCAGCAGGATTGGCCAGGTGCACGGGTGGCTTCCCACCTGTGCAGAGAGGAGGATGAAGCGTGGTGGTGGTGTGGCGTGTTGAACCGCGACGGACGGAGGTTCGGTGTGGGGCACGCGGTCCCCGTTCAGCGGTGTGATGCCACGGGCAGGGGGAGCGCCACCCACGCACTCCAGCGCCCAGGCACGCACCTCCGCACCCATCGTCACCTGCACGGCACAGCAGCAGCAGCAGCAGCACCGAGTATAAAGCAGTTACACGGGCACACGAGTCGCACCGCAACACACCACAGCAAGCGCGGGTTGCACACAAACATGCGCGTGTCAACGCAGCGGACACTAAGTATGACTCACGAAACACAGACCGCGTCACACCACAACAATATTATTGCGCACACACACACACATCACAACATACCATAACCAGTGAAAACGAGCTACACATACACTACCACCATGAGCAATCCACAGCACAATACACCACAACACACCACAGCTGCATTACAACATACCGTACACAACACATCATACGCCACAAACCACGAGTATTTGCGAAAATCGGAATTTTAGCCTCAGTTTCAAATACAATAACCTCATCCTCAAGTCGTGATGCAGGCAAACGGTGGGGGGGGAGGGGCTATGAGCAGCAGACAAAGCCTAAATCAGAAAGAGCGAGGAGGCCACTCACTGTGTTAGCTCGGCCAGTGTAGCCGAGTGGGCATGGCCATGTACGTACGTATGTGCGATAAACTTCTTTCACACCGTATGTAGCCAACCGTGCTAATCGGAGGTGCAGACGAAGGCCAACAAAACGAAACTGACAGAGTGAAGGGTCTTCCAGCTCACCGTGTGTCCTGGTTGAGCCTTCTCTCACGGTGGCGAGATGTTATCTGCCACGCCTGTTATGCAGGAGGTCGTTGGTTGAATCCCGTCACGTGGATTTTTCTCCGTGTCCTCGAGAGTTTTTCCCCTCCAAATGTAGAACCAACATGCGTTCAGAGTATTTTTGGCCGCTATTAATGTACACGTGACGACAAGCCACTTCGTTGGGGCTTTCATTTGTGGCGGCCAGACAGCTTCCGAAAAAGAGCTCCATATAGCTCAGCGGGGGCTTACCTGCTAAAATAAAACATGGCTTAATAGTTTTTCGTTCGTTTATAATACCTGCGACTCCATAAGCTGTCCACGGAACGGGTAGGAGGCGTTGTCGATGCACCACAGCGTGTCGCTGTCTTCACTCTCCGCAGCTGCCAGCAGCAGAGTGCCTGCCCAGCACACAAAGATTCCCCCCCCCCGTTGTAGCCTCTAACAGACTGCTGGGGCAAGTGCTGTTAGCAAGCAACAAAGCCTATGAAGGCCGGCACGCCTCGGCACATGAGGAAGGGGTGGGGTTGGCCAGCACCAGGCCCGGCCATCTTTGTCTCCCGAGTTGCAAATGTTTAACACACTGGACCAGGTATTAATTTAGGCTGAGCCGACCTAGCCGAGGCACGGGACCAGTTTAAATATTCATCACTGATGCTGGCTGTGAGCAGGAATCAAACTCGGGTTGTCGGGTGTGTAGCACAATGTACCTCATAAAACCAGAATGGGAACAGCACACGAGCGTGTGGTGTGCTCGGGGATACATTCGGCCGCCTTATCCGTGAAGTACTTATTTTCCCGCTCCTCATCCGTGAATTTTTTTACTAAATACAGCAATACGTGTTTTACGTCAGGCATGGGTTCTTCAAAAGTGCGACGAATATCGAAACGACGTGCATCAAAGACATTTAAAGGGTAAGGTGGAGACGAAGGCTGAGAGGCGACGGATACGTGAAAGGACGGACAATGCTGTCAGCGATGCAAGCATTGGGTTGAGGCGACGATATTGGTATTAATAAAAAAATAAACTATTTTTTATTTTACAAGGTAAGGCCCACTGAGCTATTTTTCAGAAGCGACATGGCCACAAATTATAGTCCAACAAAGTGGCTTATCAAATGGAAATTTAGTCCAGCCAAATATTCAAAACGCACATTTCTAAATGTGGAGGAAAAAACCGGAGCGAACAATCCACGTGACCACGGGGAGAACGTCCAAATTCCAAATATACAAGCAGGCATCGGGTTCGGAATCGAACCCACGACCTCCTGTATACCAGGCGAGATAGTTAACATCTCGCCACCGCGGCGACTTCATTTCTAAACGCCTTTAAGGGTAGTGTGGGGAGATGCAAACCGGGGTAATTACAGCGTTACCGTGACCGTAGGTTTAACTACGAACCAACTCCTGGCCGTGTCCAAATGCATTCTCACCGCGGCTGTAGAGGGCTCTGTGGACGCGCGCCGGCCTCTGGGACACAGCGCTGGCGGAGAAACCCGGCGGGAGGCGAACGTGGACGAGCGACAGGCCGCTGGGCCGGTCCTGCGTCGACTGGAATGGCCGCACGGCAAAGTAGAGGCGCACGCCTGGGGACAGATGTAACACGGTGACAAATTTACAACGATCTCCCGTACAGCCATACAGACTGTTCGCGCAAATGCTCTTGGCAAGCAACTATTAAGGCCGGTCTTCTTCTTTCATGCGGCTGCTGATGTAGACGCAGAGCAACAACTACAATTTCAGATTAAGGTGGTCAAGCCAGATAACCGCACCAGGAGCACTGGAGTGTATCGCTGTGATGTTTCCTTCGTATATTTATGGATCGGGCATTGAATTAAGGCCGGTAAGAGACACGGGGAGAAGGGATGGTATGGTCAGAACCAATCCCACAGTGCTTTTTTCTACACACCACACCAGTTACTCATTGAAGGCTGTATCAGCCTAGAAGCAGCCCAGAACGGACACAAATATTACTCACCACTTATCTTGCCTTTTTTTGCATTATTGATAATCGCATTCAAGAAATTAAACAACTTATGACCAGTTCACCAACCTCACAAATCCGCAATGACCAGCGAGGAGTACAGTGAAAAAATCCCCATGACCAACACAGTGCGTTAAGGCCTATATCCGGCAGTAAAATGACAATGAGCTGTAATAATGGGTTCCGATCGGTTCGTTACTAAAATATGCATTCGCGTATCAATTAATTAATCTATTAACAATTAACCCTTCTCAAAAACACAATAAACTATTTTACCAGGAAAAGCCCACTGAGCTATGTATCTATTTTTCAGAATCGACCTGGCCACAAATGATAGCGCAGCCAAGTGGGCATATCATCATGTGGAAATTCATCGCAGCCAAATACTCTAAACACATGTTGATTCTAAATGTGGAGGGAAAAAACCAGAGGACCCAGAGAAAAAGCTACATGACCAAGAAGAGAGATAACAAGTAAACTTTTTTCAAATTTTCTTGCTGTGGTTTTCACACCTGATGATGATTGCTTGTGTTGCAGTCGAAACGTCGTGAGAATTTTATTGTTTTATATTTTTATTATTTTATTGTTTCCCTTCTACGTGACTTTACCGAAAGAACCAAGAATAAGTAAACTAAATATACAACAGGCATTAGGGTTGGGATCAAACCCACGACCTCCTGTATACCAGGGCAAGGTAGTTAACATGTCACCACCGCGGCGCCCCAGCCAGTAATAACCGCGGTAGTCCGTGCGCTGCTCCTCATGCAGTCCTGCGGCAGCCGCTTACCCGTGTGGGTCACGGCAAGCAGGTGGCAGTTCAGGGACTCAGACTTCTCGATGGCCGAGATGTGGATGATGGGTTTGAAGTTGGAACGGTCGACCGACCTGCAGAGCGGCGAACACATGGTGTCGTTAGCACACTAGAGCTTCAATGCGTCAATACGCAGCAGCAGGTATGACAACTCCCTCCACACCAGTGTCGTCATTAAGTTCGCGTGTGTCATTTTAACCCTTGGCTAGACAACATGTTCGTCAAGTCTTAGTCCGTGGATTGAATTGTTTTTAAATGCTGACTAATTTAACACTGGGCACAATGTTAACTCGGCGTTTATATTCATGCCGGTATGACACAAGAGAGAGTGGTGTGGCTAGCACCACTCCCAGCTGCCTTTATCTCCGCAGTACTGATATTTACACAGCGCACCAGGTACCAATTCTTAATTCCGAGCTGACCTCGGGGAGGCACGGGATCAATTCAGATATGTAGAACTAATGTAGGACGTGAGTGGGATTTGAACTTGGGTCCATTGGGGTCGTAGCGCAGCACACTAACCGCTTGCTGAAGTGCCAGTTAAGGTGAGAGTACCAAACAAGACAACCAATACCTGCCATTCGCCACTAAGTGACGGTGACATTACCACAGGTGCCTATGCCAGGCCAGGTGCACTTTGAGGCCAGGTGAAGTGTCGAAGGCTCACTGACAGGTCACGGGACAGACCCAGGTGCCATGGGTTGACCGACTGTGATGACTGGCAGATGCACACAGTAGTTGACACCAAGTTAACAACACACACACACGAGCGCCCAAACTCCACGCGATCCATCAACCCCTTCACACCTGGCGACGTGCGCGGCATTGTTGACTATGCTGCTGTGCGAGAGGCTGGCAACGCGCGTCATGCCGTGCCCGTCGGCGCCCAGGTCGAACACCTGCAGGCAGCCGCGCTCCGTGCGTGTGTAGAGCACGTGCCGCGAGTCATCCATGGCGATCTGCACCACAGGGTCTGTGCACGTGTTAGGGGGTGGGCATTTAGAGAAAATACATAAGCGTGCGTGCATGCATGCTCTATTGCGCGAGTACGCCATAGTGTGCGGCAAGTGTGTGCGTGTGTATGTATGCGCTCATGCGTGTGGAACAGTGTGCTGTGAACTGCTGTGTGTAGGAAGGAATGTTAGTGTTTGGGACCCAATGTGTGCGTAAGTAATGTGTGTATGTGTCGAGACCACTGTACGAGTGTGTATAGATGCCGTGTATGTGGGACTGCTGTATGTGTGTGTGTGGCCAAAGTGCACGTGTGAATATGTATAAACCAAAGGTGGATCGTTGGCGCAGTGGTAAGTGCACTACGCTACGAACCCGGAGACCTGAGTTCGATTCCCGCTCACGACCAACACCAATGACGTCTATCTAAACCGGTCCTGGGCCTCCCCGAGATCGATTCAACCACAAATGACTAACTGGTGCAGTGTTTAAGTATCGCCACTCAGGAGACAAAGGCGGCCGGGTATGGTGCTGGCCACCCACCCTCTCGTGTACCTGCTGGCCTTTATATAGTCTGTTAAGGCTATATGGGGGATCTTTGTGTGTGTGTGTGTTTGTGGCCAATGTGCATGTGTGAATAATGTGCATAGACCAACGTGTAAATGTATGAACTACCATAACGGTGGTTAATGTGCATGTGTGGATATGGACTCTGAATTTAATGCTGTGTGCGTGCAGACTGCTGTGCGAGTGACTGCTGTGTATTTGTGTGTGACTGCTATGTATGTGTGTGGCCAATGCGTGTGTGTGCGTGTATGTGTGCCCAATACCTTCTTCGCTGAAGCCGAATTGCAGCACCGAGGGCATGAGTCCCCACAGGAAGCTCTTGGAGTGGTTTATCTTCCTGCAACGGTGGCTGAACCAGCCGGCCTCAGCCTTTCCCGGCCACACCGCGCCGCGGCAGCAGGAGCAGAGCACGCACATAGCGCCAGCCACCATGCACAAGAGGAAAGCACGGCTTAGACCAAGGCAGGTGTTTAGGTCATGGTTTAGACCAGGTAACTAAAAGCTGAACGATTTTTTTTATTGTACCAATTAAGGCCCAATGAGCGAAATAGCTATTTTTTCAGAAGCGACCTGGCCATCACAAATGATGGCTCAACGAAGTGGCTTATCACGTGGAAATGTATAGCGGGCCAAATCTTATGAACGCACATTGATTCTAAATGTTGACAGAAAAAACCGGAGGACCCGGAGGAAAATCCAAGCGACCACGGAGAGAACATGCAAACTCCAAATACACAACATGCTTCAGGGATGGGATCCAACCCACAACCTCCTCCATACCAGGCGAGGTAGTTAACGTCTCGCCACAGTTGCGCCCAAAGGTGCTTTCAGTGATGGAAAAAAATATGTGCGGACCTTTCCAAAGCAGTAGGCTTCATGTGGACACAGGCTGAGCGAAATTAAGTTGCGGTCCATATCCGGCACGTAGGTTGCCCTCCCCCACCCTCCACCCCGGTGGTTTAAAAAATGCCAAGGTTTAAAAGCAAGGCTACCAAGTGCAGGAAAACTGCAATATTTCAGACATGTGACCAGGAAAGAATAGTGACTGGCTACACAGGATCGTGACGAGGTAAGACCACTATCTGACTGGATGTAAAATATAATGGGACCTTTGTTGCCAGTATCAAAGCATGAAAAAATAATAGGTTTTACCCTTTCTGGCAATAAAACAGGTGTTAAGATACTCTTGGTTCTTTCGGTAAAGTCACGTAGAAGGGAAATAATAAAATAATACAAATAAAAGATAATCAAATTCTCACGACGTTTCGGCCACAACACAAGCAGCCGTCCTCAGGTGAAGAAATAGAACTGTCGGAAAGACAGCGCTCCAATGCCGACAGTTCTGTTTCTTCACCTGAGGACGGCTGCTTGTGTTGTGGCCGAAACGTCGTGAGAATTTTATTTTACTATGTTTTATTTTTATTATTTCCCTTCTACGTGACTTTACCGAAAGAACCAAGAAGATGAATCCCTGCAGTCACGAAAGCTTTAAATCGAAGGTGGTAAGATGTTCAAACACCAAACAGCTACTCAACCCGAGCTATAAATGCTCTGATATGCGCATTGTCTTTGTCATGTTTGCCTTTTGGCCTTCTCTGGTTTGACACTGGTGAGAACTAGGCCATAACGAAGGCTGTCACGTTTGTTTGCATGTTCACCACAGGTACGTGTGGTTAATGCAGACTTCATTGCTTGCAAAAAGGTATCCATTTGGTGTTTGAACATCTTAACACCTGTTTTATGTCACTGAACAGGATGAAAGTTGTCTCAAAGGAAGTCGACGTTGAAGTGGAAAGGGAGCGGCAGCGATATATCGCTGGAGGAAACGATAACGTCTCAATGGCCCAATGGCCCGGGAAAAAAAATATATATAACAGGCAACATTTAGAGCAATGGCCCTTCTTCAGAGCACATTAACAGGCCAGAAAGACCTCGTGGATAATAGTTGAGTCTGCACTTTACATCAAAGTAACCATAAGAAGAAAAATTGTTTCAGACCAGCACACGGTCGGGGACAGCGTGCACGCGTCTGGTGGTGGGGCACCTGATAGTCAAGCTCGTAGAGGCATCCGTCGCGCGCCGCCAGGAAGACACGGCCCGTCGTGGTGCCGCACACCGCCTGGAAGTACGTGTTGTCCGTGGGCAACGAGTAGATGGGCTCGGGCAGCAGCAGCAGCCCCTCGCCCTCAGCTCCCCCATCACCTGCAGTGGGCACACCATCAACCAATAATTATTTTGCGAAACAGGCACCACGATTACCGGTGCTCCTGCCGCTGCTAGCGGAAAGGCCTAACCACTGTACCATCACTCCCGATAGTGACAAGCACGCACGCATTCAAAGATCCCCGTATAGCCTCAACAGACTGTTGGGGCAAGTGCTGTTAGCGAGCAGCACCTATTAAGTCCGGCACAGCACACGCGAGGGTGGGTGGCAAGCACCACACCCCGCCGCCTTTGTCTCCCAAGTGGCGATGTTTACATACCATACATGGTACTCAGGCTGAATCGACCTAGGAGAGGCCAACGACCGTTACAGAAAATCGTCACTGGTGTTGGCCGTGAGCGAGAATCGAACCCACTTTGCTGGGTTCGTAGCACAACGCGCTAGCCCTCCATACGCACGCAAGCACACACATGCACACACAGAGTGTTTCACCTATGGGGATAAGCACTTGACATGTTGGGGTGTGGAACACAAGACCACTCGCTCGCTCACTCGTTTAGCCACGAGTTTTACTTCACCTGGGGCTCCTGATGGTGCGCACATGCCAAGCACGACGATCTCCACGGGCGTCGCCAGCACCAGCAGGTAGCGCACGTGCGGCTGGAAGATGCCTGCACCATGCAGAAGGATGGCGTTACAGGGGGCAACAGCGCCGGGCTGTCACGCCAGTCACTGGAGCAGCATTGTCTACTGCACCAACCTGGAGTCCAGCAGCATTACCATATTAGCTTAGTAAATTTTTATATTTTGCGGAACCAGGTGAGAACCCAGAGAGACCAGGAGTCTCATTTGCAAAAGTCTGCCGATAGGTAGCGCTTATTGCTTTGTATAGTTCCACAGGCGTAATTTGCAGGTATTTTTCGAATCTGGAAAATATATACCGCAACGTTGGCACACAACGGCCTACTCTTGCAAATGACGTCACTGTGAAGCAGTGTATATTATCACGATTAATAGACCCACAGTAACAATCAGGGTGGCCACTGGATTGCAACCATTATGAGACCTCCTTTGCCAGAAACAAGATATAGGAATAGGTTTTACTCTTTTAACTGGCACAAAAACTGACACCTTTATTCAAGGCATCATGTTTGCAATGACCACAACACAAGCAGTCAAAATGCAAACAAAAAAGGACAACTCTGATAATATGCACTGTCCTTGAATTTGATTGGTCCACACCCGAGACAGCTTTTCTTAGAGCCTAGTCTCCAACACCAATGGAGACTAGGCTCTAAGAAAAGCTGTCTCAGGTGTGGACCAATCAAATTCAAGGACAGTGCATATTATCAGAGTTGTCCTTTTTTGTTTGCATTTTGACTGCTTGTGTTGTGGTCATTGCAAACATGATGCCTTGAATAAAGGTGTCAGTTTTTGTGCCAGTTAAAAGGGTAAAACCTATTCCTATGGATTGCAACCGTGAACCTCTGCAACAAAACCAGCAGTGAACGCCATACCGCTAGGCTACGTCACCGCCGTTAACGCGCCACCATCGGCATCACATCATCGCGCCACCCAGCGTCACCATCACCATCACACCTCCCCTGCTACCGTAATCTTATTAACATGATCAACATCGGCACATTTGCACTATCCACAGCACCACATTGCTATCGAGAGGCAACAGTGTCAACAAAAGTGTTAAGAATGGACACTGTTTAAAAGGATGTAAAATAAACTGCCATAGATTTGATTGTGCAAGCGAGGCCCCTTATGAACCAGTTACGAGGGGCTGTGAAATTATTTTTTTTCCATTGGCATAGTGCTCACCTGGCTTGGGCTTGACGAGCCCAACGCAGAGGATGGCCTCGCTCATGCCATCGTAGTAAGCAAGGTCACCGCTGGGAACAAACAAGACACGCACATTAACGACAGCAAAGATGCAATAATACAGTAGTCCCTCAGGTACCGCTTTTTTAAATCCGTTCCACGAAAATGTTAACGTTCGTTAACCAATGTCACTGTTCACCGAGGGACCAGTGTACAGGTTTTTTGGGTTAGATCGCATATATATGAATGTGTTGTTAAACCCGCCACCACCGGACACAGCCAATTAGTGAGATTTGTTACATAAACAAAACATGCCAATTAGTTTACTCTCCACCACACCAGTGTGTTGAACTAGTCACTAATTGGCACGTTTTTTCCGTGACAAACCTTACGAATTGCCTGTCAGGCGGTGGCAGGTTTAATGACACATTTATATTTATGCGATCTAACCCAAAAAATACATTTATTATATATTGTTCGTAAAAGTCTACGTGTTTTAAGCAAATATCCAATCATTTATATATATAAAACATTCTCCAGCTTATGAGACTCTGGAATGTAAGATGTACCCAAAGCTTTGGTACATAATACAACACAACTATGACTGTCGTTGTGTATAATGTAATTAACAAAACATACTCCCTTCACATGTAAAATTAAGTGTCCCATCAGCGACAAAGCTTTCTAGGGCTGCATAATTTAAAAAAAGTGTTTTAGGATCGGGAGAATACACTACTATGGGCATCAGTCTTCAAAAAGATAAGTATGTAAACGTTGCTTTAAAACAGGGAGAGGTTACTTGTGGATTGCATCTGGCCCACAGGCTGCCAGGTGTGTATCCTAAAAACCTTGCTCCTCATACCTGGTGGCAGGTACGAGGATGTGAAGGCAAAGGTAAAGAAAGTATAAGGGACGGGAGTATGAAGTTAAGTTACTATGTTATTCTAGATATCAAGCTTTCGTGAGTGCAAGGATTCATACTCTTTGGTTTTTTCGGTAAAGTCACGTAGGTAAAATAGAATAAAAAAACTAAATTAAATCACGACGTTTCGGAGGCAACACAAGCTTCCGTCTTCAGGTGGAACAGACACAACAAAGTTCGCTGTATCAAGTTAACAGCTCTGGGACACCCGAGCTTATATATATGTTAAGGGGGGGGGGGGAGGAGCCAGGAAGGGACATGGGTGGGAAGGGGAGGGCTAAGTTAAGCCGCCTTTTGTTATGCTGCAGGGGGTTCGGGGGGAGCGATGGCGTGCTGCACGAGAGCAAGCACCATCCTGGTAGAAACGGAAACGGCTGTACAATTATCAGCCAGCTAACGTTTGACTTGGTTGATGACATCTTTCCAAAAGTTGCTCAATTTGAAACCATCCTCTCGGTTGAAGTTGTGTCTATGTTTGTATATCTGGATGGCTTCATGGACAAATCTTTGGTAATAACCGGGAGGTTTGCATAGTACTTTGGTTTCGGAGAAAACAATGTCATGAGAACCCGCTGTGTTGAAGCAATGATCAGCCACGGCCGAATAATTCATTCGGCCGTGTTTCAAATCTAATTTGTGCTTGCGAATTCGGTCAGAAATGTCGTTTCGTCTCCCCGATATAGCAGTCACCACAGGTACAACTCAATTTGTAAACACCGGGGTACTGTAAGTCAGGAATGACATGTTATGTCAAGTGTTCCGTTTTCCGGTGTACCTCACCCATCATCGTAGTTCCACATGAAGATGTCATTGTCGATGGTTAGCCAGGCACGGCCCAGCTCAGGGAACACTCCCAGCATGCAGTTACACTGCATGTCTATTCCATTAGGTGCATTAAGGAGAACACAGGAGGCATGAACTTATTTATCAATTACGAAGCTAATTTTACGCTCGTGATACATGCACAGGACCTGCAAGGTTTGGCTGAAGTAGTGATGTGTGGATGTGGGCAATGTAGCAGGTAGGTGTCTGGCCTACAGTGTGTACAGATTTAGTTTTTTTATCTTTTGTTCTTAATATTCCAAGCAGCATCCTCAGAAGGGGACATGAGCACTGTGGAGCACTCCTTTGAGTAAAGACACGTCGATTCTAGAAATCTGCAGCAAATAATTACATTGACAGACACTACGCTGAACATTTTTGGCAGAGAAAGTTTCCCCCCCAAAATAACAGCATAAACCGTTCATCATTATTTTATGCGAGTTATTAAACGCTTAACCCTCCACACCACCAACCCCCCCTCAATGCAACCTGAGACGCGGGACTACACTTTCGCGGCGTAAGGATACGGCCAAACTGTTCCACGAGCTCGGGCGGGAGTGGAACCCTCTTGATGGCGCCAACCTCCGGTGGGTGGAGCATGGCGCCTGGCGCCTGGGATGGGTAGTCCAACTCGTTCATTCCCGACACCGTGGCCATTGCTGTTGCACGGGCAGGAGGGGGCAGGGGGTGATGGGATGGGGGGGGGACACCGAGGATAGAATCACGTGACAGATGCCGCAGAAGTTCGCAGAATCCAGGCAATGGGGTTTCTGAGCGCTGTCTCCTTGTTATAAGGAAGGAGTGGTCAAAAGTCCGATGCAGTACCCCCCTGAATATAATTATTAATAAAAATGTAATTTACTTATCCAAGAAAGTCACATTCATGAAGCGTGCTTAGACAAATAAACTGAAATTGTGTTCGGAAAAACTGCAGTGCTAGAGAAAAAAACAAATCAAACCTAATTGGACTTTTCCAGTTGGATAAAACAAGAACCGTTGTGTAGGTATGTATGATGAACTGCTTTCGCACCGTACGTAGTCAACCATGCTAATCGGTTGGCTAAGTGCGCTGCGAGGTGTGTGTAGAGACGTGTGTGCCTCTCTGTGTCCCATGTCACTGCACAGGGCCAAACGCACTGTGGTTCGGCACCCCCAGCTGTTCCGAGAGCTCAGGATAGAGTCGCTCCTCCATCAGCTTTCGCTCCACGTGCCGAGCCGCCGCTGCCAGCGCCACCGCTGCGGCCGAGCCGCCCGCTGGCACCATCACCGCGCCGCCAAAAGCCACCGCCGACGCTGCCATGACAACGCCTGCCAATGCAACCCACACCGTAGATGATGCTACTCAATCAATTGCAGCCATTCATTCATTCTCAGGCCTCCCAATGCCATGGTGGGTCCTGGGAAATTGTTTGACCATACTTCACCACGCTGCTCAGTGTTGATGGGTGGAGGGCCGGATCGGTCTTATTTTTTAGTATTTTTATTTTACAAGGTAAGGCCCACTGAGCTATAGTAGCTCTTTTCAGAAGCTACCTGACCACAAATGGTAGCTCAAGGAAGTGGCACATCACGTGGACATTTATATCAGCCAAATACTCTAAACGCACGTTGATTCTAAATGTGGAGGGAAAAACCGGAGCACCCGGAGAAAAATCCACGCGACCACGGGGAGAGAGAGACACGCAAATTCCAAACATACAGCAGGCGTCGTCAGGGTCGGGATCGAACCCACGACCTCCTGTATACCAGGCAAGGTAGTTAACATCTCACCACCACGAGACATCACTCGCCCCTGATGTTCGCCGCTGATGGGATTCCAATGTACCACCACTCTACTCAGATTATGTTACTATCAGTACCAATGAAGCACACACATAGACTTTCATAAGATTATATATGAAGACGGGAAGCGTAAACATGGGATCAGTGTACAATACGAAACTGCCCTCAACTCTAGCGTGCTAAATGCGAATTGTGATATTACAGGGTCTTTAACGTGTAGTTTTAAACGATCTCGTGCACGTTGGGTAACCGAAAGTGTGTTTCCAAACGCATTTTTAGCTTTTGCGAACGATACACATCCCTTTCCGGATTGAAATGTGACAAAATACTCGCGGGATGCAAATAAGAACGAACGACGCTATATACAAGGACTTATTAAAAAATATTGCAGTGCATGCGAGAAGGTGCACAGCATGAACGTGGATGAGAGGCAGCTGAAGGAGGCTCTGTAGTAGTTCTGCAGTGCCGTCTTCCACGTTAAGGTGGTGCACTGCTCACAGAGAGCTCCAAATTTAGATGTATCGATCTCATCCAGCAGCAATCCACCGCTGGATGATGGGCACCCGTACGGTGGGTTATTTGACACATTCACGCTGGTCAGTGCGGGTTAGTGAAGATATGGGGGGGGGGGGCACAAATAGACGTGTAACCACAGAAGTGCAGTACAACAGACGATGATGCGCAGTACAATGATGACAGAGTATCCGAAACCGCCTCGCACGAGTTGCACATCCGAGCGCTATCCGGACTCAAACTGCTGCTTAGCGTGCCAGATTCCAGCGGGTGATTTTTGGTCACGGACACACGAACGCTACACATGAATAACATTTTTGAGGTAAATATTTATCCGAAAAATAAAACATTTTAAACGTTTGTAAAAAAAAGTTTTTTTTTTACCAGTGCAGCCCTCACGCGATGACACAGGGACCCACCAGGCCTCTATCCCAAGGCCTTAAAAAAAAGAATCCAACACTCGTTAATTTCAAAATGTTAAATCTGTACCTTTATTGCGAGACGCGTGGCCGCGTTGAATTTGCGTGTCGATACTCTCTCTCGTTTTTTTTGTTTTTGCTTATTTAACGTACCCAACTTGCGAATGAAAGTTTAAATTCGTTTTTAGCTGATTACAATTTCCCCTCACGCTGAGCAGCGGCTCACGCGAGCGAGGCGGTGGGGCGGGCGGCACGCGCGAGGCCCCTCAATGGCGCCATTCGCATTGCCCACAGCACCCCGTTGGCTGGCGAAGGAAATCGCACTCGGCCAATCACGGCGGCGCATTTCAACCTCGCGGCTTTCCCCCCCCCACCCATCACCGCCGATCCGCGTGACGTTTTGGCGGGAACCGCGCGAGGGGTTTGCCCCACCCCCCACCCCCCACCCCCCACCACGTCAACGGTGGCCGCCAAGTGCGCGTTTGTAAATAAAGTGCGATTTTTTAATTGTTACTATTATCAATCTTAATCTTAGCTCTTTCGGTAAAGAGCTAAGAATATTCATTACTGTAGTCACGAAAACTTTAAATCAAAATTTATTATCAATCTTGATTTGAGGCTTTCGTGACCGCAGGAATCCACAATCTTTGGTTATTTCGGTAAAGTCACGTAGGTAGTAGGTAGAAATAAAATAACATAAAATTAAACAAATCACGACGTTTCGATCGCAACACAAGCAATCCTCATCAGGCGGGAACACCACAGCAAGAAAAAAAATTATGAAGTGGCTATTGTCATCGGATAATACGTAAGGCAGTGTGGAAACATAATAATAGGTTTTTACCCCCTTTATGGAAATAAAACACGAGTTGTTTTAAGATAGTCGAACACCAAATAGAACGTTATGCAAGGAATCAAGTTCGCATTAACCAGTGTCGTTAATAATCATGAGCGGGACATTATTTTAGATTTAATATTTCTGATGTAATGCAATAAACAAACACCTTTCCTAAGAAGTGATATCGACGAATTGGCCACGTTCTGCTTACGTGACAACCCTTACTAGTTGGCTGTGTCGGATGGTGGCAGGTTTTAACGACGCAACATTTATCTATTTACGCGATCTAACCCAAAAAAAACTCTATTATGCTATCGCCTAGTTTACAATTTTGTGGATTTATAATTCACCCGCCCCCTCCTCCCCCTATTGGGGGGGGGGGCTATCCCCGGCCCCCGAGAATCGATTCCCTTTACATCATCGCCCACCGCAGTTGGATCGATCCGATCGGCGCCTCGGGTAGTCATGGAGGTCGTCTACTCGTGCGATTTCCCACGGAAGCCTCGGGCCGCCTACTGCCCCGCGGTGCCCCTCGCCTGCGCCTGGTCGTGCCGCAACCTCATCGCTTTCACGTCCGAGCGACGGGGCCCGCACGGCGACATTGGCGGTGAGAGACGGCACGGATGGTTCGCGGAGGTAACCTGCCGTGGGTTGGTGGTGGGGGGTGGGAGGCGGTCAGGCAAAGCCGTAGAGCTCGAGGCTTCCCCCGGCCAAGATGACTAGGCCGCAGCACCTCCTGGTGGACGCGGGACGGGGTAATTCGGGGGTTCGCTTTGTGGTGGTGGTGGGGTGGGGGGAGGAGTCTCTCACATTCAGGGGTCTTCGGGAATCTTTCGCAATAAAGGATCTGTTATTGAGGGATCTGTGGGTTCTTACCTCATTCGGGAGTCTGTGAGGTATCGATCATTCAGAGGTTTACGGAGTACAGTATTTTGCACGCGTGGGGGGTCTGGGCTGCTTTGAGGGTCTCCGCGGGAGCTGTCGGGATGTGTTTAGGGTACCGAGGGGCTGGGGTTCTCGGAGATTCTGGAGTCTTGTTCTGCGTGTGTGTTTGTAACAAGCTCCCCGAAGCAATCCGGCACACTCGACTCCAAAGACAAAGATCCCCCGTGTGTAACGAACTGTTGGGGGCAAGTGCTGTTCGTGAGTAGCAGCACCAATGATGGCTACCGGCACTGTGGCACACGAGGGGGTGGGGTAGCCAGCACCACGCCCGGCCGCCTTTGTCTCCCCGGTAGTGATGTTTACACATGATAAGCCACTTCGTTGAGCTATCGTTTGTGTTAGCCAGGTCGCTTATTAAAAAAGAGCTATTTACCTTTGGTAAAATAAACATATTTTTTATAGATTTGTGCCGGGAAGCCGACACGCGTGTCAGCAGTAAATTACAGTCGATCGTAAATTAGCCGGGGGGAAGGGGGCGCCGGGTTTTCCAAATGCCGAATAATTCACCACAATATAATTTAAATAGCTTATTTTTGCACATTCTTGCATAACATTGTTTTAGGTGGTGCGTATGCGTTTTTTTGTGTTTGAAATGTGTTTAACTACGTAAATTTGGCATGAATAAACGTACAAACAGACAAATATAAATATTGTGTCCGACGATCGCCGGACTGGTTACAGCCTTTGGAGCGATTTTGCCGGATCGGCCCGGGACCGCCGGATAATGCTGCAAGCAGCAGGATAAATGCCGATGATCGACTGTCAATTAACTTGGGTTTTTACTCCTTGCCACTTGTGTGTCCGTGTCTCAGAGCACACGAGCTACCCCATCCACATCATGGACCCCGAGCACCCGTGGGACGTGTGCACGGTGCGGTCCGGCCACAGCGACGTCATCACCTGCCTGGAGTGGGACCAGTCCGGTGCGTGTGCTCCTCCTCTTCGTGTGCTCCTCCTCTTCGTGTGCTCCTCCTCTTCGTGTGCTCCTCCTCTTCGTGTGCTCCTCCTCTTCGTGTGCTCCTCCTCTTCGTGTGCTCCTCCTCTTCGTGTGCTCCTCCTCTTCGTGTGCTCCTCCTCTTCGTGTGCTCCTCCTCTTCGTGTGCTCCTCCTCTTCGTGTGCTCCTCCTCTTCGTGTGCTCCTCCTCTTTGTGTGCTCCTCTTCGTGTGCTCCTCCTCTTCGTGTTCTCCTCTTCGTGTGCTCCTCCTCTTCGTGTGCTCCTCTTCGTCTGCTCCTCGTCTTCGTGTGCTCCTCCTCTTCGTGTTCTCCTCCTCTTCGTGTGCTCCTCCTCTTCGTCTGCTCCTCCTCTTCGTGTGCTCCTCCTCTTCGTGTTCTCCTCCTCTTCGTGTTCTCCTCTTCGTGTGCTCCTCCTCTTCGTGTGCTCCTTCGTGTGCTCCTCCTCTTCGTGTTCTCCTCTTCGTGTGCTCCTCCTCTTCGTGTGCTCCTCCTCTTCGTGTGCCCCTCCTCTTCGTGTGCCCCTCCTCTTCGTGTGCCCCTCCTCTTCGTGTGCCCCTCCTCTTCGTGTGCCCCTCCTCTTCGTGTGCCCCTCCTCTTCGTGTGCCCCTCCTCTTCGTGTGCCCCTCCTCTTCGTGTGCCCCTCCTCTTCGTGTGCCCCTCCTCTTCGTGTGCCCCTCCTCTTCGTGTGCCCCTCCTCTTCGTGTGCTCCTCCTCTTCGTGTGCTCCTCCTCTTCGTGTGCTTCTCCTCTTCGTGTGCTCCTCCTCTTCGTGTGCCCCTCCTCTTCGTGTGCTCCTCCTCTTCGTGTGCTCCTCCTCTTCGTGTGCTTCTCTTCGTATTCCCCCCCCTCTCCCCGTGTACTCTTCCCCCCCCCCCGTACTCCCCTCCCAGTACTCCCCCGCCCTCCCCGTACTCCCCCCCCTCCCCGTACTCCCCCCCCTGTATTACGTATTATTCATGAGAACGCGGTGTTCTTCGGGAACGCGACTGCTACCGCGTTGTAGGAGAACACGGACCTGTATTCTGATTCCGAATCGCTTCCGGCCGCGCGTGCCGCCCGCCCGCCCGTCCGTCGCCGCGCGCAGGAGCGCGGCTGCTGTCGGCGGACGCGGGGGGCCGCGTGCGCTGCTGGGCCACGCCCGAGCACCTGCTCAACGGCTGGGAGGCGGTGGGCGAGGGCGGCCCCGACGGCGAGCCCCTCCTGGCGCTCGCGTGGCTCCACAACGGCATCAAGCTCGACCTGCATGTGGAGAAGGCAAGAGGCCGAGGGGGGACAGCAGGGGGGGGGGGGGGAGGGGGGGGGGACGCACACGGCCGCACAGATACCCACAATACCCAAACAGCAGCCGCCACTAAGTGACGGTGACGTCACCGCGCCGCGCCTGTGCCCAGGCCAAGGTGCACTTGAAGGGGGTCACGGGAAATGTTGAAGGGCTCGCTGACGGGAGGTCACGGAACAGACCCTGCAGGTGCCATGGGTTGACTGACTGAGCGTTTTAGTCGCCCGGCGCTCCGCTCATTGTTGTGAGCGTTGCTCCTCCCTGTCCTCCGCAGTGTCCTTCACGAGCCTCCTCCACGATAGCACACAGATAAAAAGATCCCCCGTATAGCCTGTAACACACTGTTAGGGCAAGTAAAGTTAGCGAGCACCTATCAAGGCCGGCACGGCACACGAAGGGGTGGGTGGCCAGCACCACGCCGTGCCGCCTTTGTTTCCTCAGTGGCGATGTTTACACACCGTACCAGCTACTCATTGTGTTGAGGGGCCTGCTGTTCAGCACACCCTTGCTGGTGAGAGAGGCCTGCTGTTCAACACACCCGTGCTGGTGAGAGGGGCCTGCTTTTCAGCACACCCGTGCTGGTGAGAGAGGCCTGCTGTTCAACACACCCGTGCTGGTGAGAGGGGCCTGCTTTTCAGCACACCCGTGCTGGTGAGAGGGGCCTGCTGTTCAGCACACCCGTGCTGGTGAGAGAGGCCTGCTGTTCAGCTCACACGTGTTGAGGGGCCTGCTGTTCAGCACACCCGTGCTGGTGAGAGGGGCCTGCTGTTCATCACATCCGTGTTGGTGAGAGGGGCCTGCTGTTCAGCACACCGGTGCTGGTGAGAGAGGCCTGCTGTTCAGCACACCCGTGTTGAGGGGCCTGCTGTTCAGCACACCCGTGCTGGTGAGAGGGGCCTGCTGTTGAGGGGCCTACTGTTCAGCACACCCGTGTTGGTGAGAGAGGCCTGCTGTTCAGCACACCCGTGTTGAGGGGCCTACTGTTCAGCACACCCGTGCTGGTGAGAGGGGCCTGCTGTTCAACAGACCCGTGCTGGTGAGAGGGGCCTACTGTTCAGCACACCCGTGCTGGTGAGAGGGGCCTGCTGTTCAACACACCCGTGCTGGTGAGAGGGGCCTGCTGTTCAACACACCCGTGCTGGTGAGAGGGGCCTGCTGTTCAACACACCCGTGCTGGTGAGAGGGGCCTGCTGTTCATCACACCCGTGCTGGTGAGAGAGGCCTACTATTCATCACACCCGTGCTGGTGTGAGGGGCGTGCTGTTCATCACCCCCGTGTTGGTGAGAGGGGCCTGCTGTTCACTCCCATGCTGGTGAGAGAGGCCTACTGTTCATCACACCCGTGTTGGTGAGAGGGGCCTGCTGTTCACCAATCCCATGCTGGTGAGAGGGGCCTACTGTTCAACACACCAGTGCTGGTGAGAGAGTCCTGCTGTTCAGCACACCCGTGCTGGTGCGAAGATGGCGCTGATGATGGTAGCCTCAGCCGGTCGGTGCGCCCTGTTTTGTCTTGTTTTGTCTGTCAATTCAGTGTTTTGCCAAGATTTTCGGAGTTCTCTAACAAGAGACGAACTTTTAAATATCAGGGAAACAACTCCTGTGGATTTAATTCCTACTTTTCTGCTTCCAGCGGCAGAATTAGTAGGCATTCTAGTCAATGCCGCGCTAGGCTTTGCTCAAGCAACGAAACGCCGCCCAAGGGGTAAACGGTCGGGGGCTCTAGTACGGCTACGCAGACGCGGGATCCGAACAGTGCTTCCGAGCTTTTTCCTCTCCAACGTACGTTCACTGTACAACAAAATGGATGAACTTCAGCTACTGATGGTAAAAAACAAAGACTTTCTTTCAGCTTCTGCATTGTGCTTCACGGAAACATGGCTGTGTGATTTGATTCCGGACACTTCGCTACAACTAGCAGGATTCCATCTTGTAAGATCGGATCGTGACATAGCACTCTCCGGCAAGACGAAAGGCGGTGGTATTTGTTTTTACATTAACAGTGGCTGGTGTGTAGATGTCACAGTGATTCTGCAACATTGTTCTCCACTCCTTGAATCAATTTTTATAACCTGTAAACCGTTTTACTCGCCTCGCGAGTTCGCGTCGCTCATTTTGGTCGGAGTTTATTTGCCGCCTTGTCCTCAGGTTAAAGAGGCCCAACGCATGCTCGCCGATCAGATTCTGAGTGTGGAGCGAGCAAATCCAGATTCGTTGGTTATCGTACTTGGCGACTTTAACAAAGGTAATCTCAGCCACGAACTCCCCAAATACATACAATTCATTAAATGCCCAACCAGAGAAGGGAACACTCTGGATCACTGTTACACTACAGTCAGTAGAGCCTACCACGCCGTCCCCCGAGCAGCACTAGGACACTCTGACCATGCCATGGTCCACCTGATTCCTGCATACAGGCAGAAACTAAAACTCTGTAAACCTGCTGTGAGGACATCTAAACAGTGGACCAGTGAGGCTGTGGAAGATTTGCGGGCGTGCTTAGACTGTACTGACTGGGATATGTTCACGACTGCTACCAATAGTCTGGATGAACTCACAGAGGCTGTGACGTCCTACATCAGCTTCTGTGAGGACTGCTGTATCCCAACACGTACCAGTGTGAACTTTAACAACAATAAGCCCTGGTTCTCAGCAAAGCTCAGAAGGTTGAGGTTGGAGAAGGAGGAAGCGTTTAGGAGTGGAGATAGAGACAGATTCAAGGAGTCGAAGAACAGGTTTAGCAAAGCGGTGAGAGAGGCTAAACGACTGTACTCAGAGAGACTAAAACACCAGTTCTCTACAAACGACGCTGCTTCTGTCTGGAGAGGGCTCAGGCAGATCACCAACTACAAACCCAGAGCCCCCCACACCACTAACGACTCCCGCCTAGCCAACGACCTGAACGAGTTCTACTGTAGATTTGAAAGACAATTGGACTGTCCTGAACCACCCCTTCCAACCCAAGAGGCCCCATCCCCCACCAATACTACAGAGACGACTATCTCCTTTCAGGAGGGAGAAGTTAATAGACTTTTCAAGAGGCAGAATCCACGCAAAGCAGCCGGGCCGGACTCTGTCTCTCCAGCCACCCTCAGGCACTGCGCTGACCAGCTGTCTCCGGTGTTCACCAACATCTTTAACACCTCCCTGGAGACATGCCATGTACCAGCCTGTCTCAAGTCCTCCACCATCATCCCTGTGCCCAAAAAGCTAAGGCCAACAGGACTAAATGATTACAGACCGGTCGCCCTTACATCTGTGGTAATGAAGTCTTTTGAGCGCCTGGTCCTGGCACACCTCAAAGCCATCACAGACCCTCTCCTGGACCCCCTTCAGTTTGCCTACAGAGCCAACAGGTCTGTGGACGATGCAGTTAACATGGCCCTCCACTTCACCCTACAGCATCTGGACGCCCCAGCATCCTACGCCAGGATCCTGTTTGTGGACTTCAGCTCTGCCTTCAACACCATCATCCCTGCCCTGCTTCAGGACAAGCTCTTCCAGCTGAACGTGCCATACACCACCTGTAAATGGATCACAGACTTCCTGTCTGACAGGAAGCAGTGCGTTAAGCTGGGAACACAAGTCTCTGGCTCCAGGTCCATCAGCACCGGAACTCCTCAGGGCTGCGTCCTTTCCCCTCTGCTCTTCTCCCTGTATACCAACAGCTGCACCTCCAATCATCTGTCCGTCAAACTATTGAAGTTTGCGGATGACACCACCCTCATTGGGCTGATCTCTGGTGGGGATGAGTCTGACTATAGGTGGGAAGCTGACAATCTGGTGACCTGGTGTAGCCAGAACAACTTAGAGCTAAATGCTCTAAAGACAGTTGAGATGGTTGTGGACTTCAGGAAGAATACAGCACCACTCACCCCCATCACCCTGTTAGACTCCCCAGTAAAAATTGTAGAGTCCTTCCGCTTCCTGGGCACTATTCTCTCCCGGGACCTCAAGTGGGAATTGAACATCAGCTCCCTCACCAAGAAAGCTCAACAGAGGATGTACTTTCTACGGCAGCTGAAGAAATTCAACCTGCCAAAGACAATGATGGTGCAATTCTATACAGCGATCATTGAATCCATCCTCACCTCCTCCATAACCGTCTGGTACGCTGCTGCCACTGCCAAGGACAAGAGCAGACTGCAGCGTATCATCCACACTGCTGAGAAGGTAATTGCCTGCAATCTACCGACCCTCGAGGACCTGCACACGACAAGGTCTATGAGGCGAGCGAGGAAGATTATGGCCGATTTCTCCCACCCTGGACACTCTCTGTTTCAGCTACTCCCCTCCGGCAGAAGGCTTCGGTCCATCAGGACCAAAACCTCACGCCATAAAAACAGTTTCTTCCCATCTGCTGCTGGCCTGTTAAACAAGGCCAAGGGCTAACACTGTTTTTAACATTTGATCTACATAACGACACGTTGCTGATATTAACTATGTTTCCCTATTTGTATTTTTTAATTATATCTTAAAGCTATTTTATATTCGATATTTATTTAATTTTATATACTTCAGCCCCTTATTATAGTAAGACTTGTTTAAAACTTATTTAAGATTTTAGATTCCTATATGTTGAATGTATGCACCATCCTGCCAAAGTAAATTCCGTGTCGGTGTGAACTTACATGGCGAATAAAACCCTTTCTGATTCTGATTCTGATTTGAGGCTGAGTCGACCTAGGAGAGGCCCAGTACCGTTTCAGTTAATCGTCACCGGTGTTGGTCGCGAGCGGGAATCGAACTCGGGTCGCCGGGTTCGTGGCGCAGCGCGCTAACCGCTGCACCACCGCTCCCCACACACAACAACAAAAACAAAGATCACCCCCCCCGCGTAACCTTCACGGACCGTTGGCACAAGCGCTGGAAGCGAGCACCTATTATAGCCACCCATATGTACCGCATGTTGGACTTTTTTGGCACCGTACGTAGCCAACCGTGCTAATCGGAGGTGCGGGGGGAAGGACAACAGACTCAACACTAAAATCAGTTCCACAGAAATTAGTTTTAAAATTGAGATTTTAAAAGTGCATAGCTCCGTGCGCCACCACCATTCTGAATGCCTCAAAACTGGCCCCTTTGTCTCCCCCTGTGCCACTCCCCCCCACCCCTGCTGCGCCCGCTGCCGTGCAGGTGGGCGCCATGAGCTTCGGTGAGAAGTTCTCGCGGGCGCGCTTCCACCCGTCTCTGGCGGCGTTCGGGGGGCGCGCGGGCGACGGCTGGGTGGGGGTGTCGGCGAGCGGCCTGGCGCGCGTGTGGCTCCTGAGGCCCGGCGGGGCGCTGCTGAGCGCCGTGCGGCCCCTGTCGCGGCCGCGGGCCCGCGTCGCCGCCGCCGACGCGGCCTTCACACCCGCGGGCCACGTCGTGGTGGCCACGTCGGATGGCAGCAGCTCCTCGCCCATCCACTTCTACCGGTGTGGCACGATCGCTTGCCTGTCTGTTCGCCTGTATTCTCAAATGTATTCTCGCCTGTATTCTCACCTGTATTCTCGCCTGTATTCTCGCCTTTCTGCTCACCTGTATTCTCACCTGTATCCTCACCTGTATTCTCACCTTTCTGCTCACCTGTATTCTCACCTTTCTGCTCACCTATCTGCTCACATACCTGTCTGCTCACATGCTCGTACGCAAGCCTTTGTGTCAACTTGTCTATCCCCCATCACTTGTGCAAACACCTCTCAGCTTGCCTCTCCGCTCACCTTCCCAATCATATGTCGGCTCATCTGTCTGTCGGCTCATCCATGTGCTTCACCTGTTGGATCATAAGTCGTCCCCTTATTCCGGGTATCCCCATGTGATTGTGTGTCCCCGTGTACCTTCACTTATCCCTGTGTTGTCTTCATATATCCCCATGTGTCTTCCTGTGTCTTTGTATCGCCCCGTGTGTTTCTACACATCCCTGTGTGACCCTGTGTGTCCCCGTGTGATCCTCTTGTCCCCATATGTGATCCCTGCGTGTCCCCCTGTGTGACCCCGCACGCATCCCTGTGTGACCCCTTGTGACCCCTTGTGACCCACGTGCGCGTCGTCTTGTGGCGTGTCAGGCTGACGCTGAGCGTGGTGAGCGAGAAGTGCCGCGTGGAGACGGAGCTTCTGCCGTCGCTCTTCCTCCGCTGCTCCTCCGACCCGTCGCGACGAGACAAGTACCCGGCCGTGTCTCACCTGCGCTTCGTCACGCGGGAGAACTCCGAGCAGGTGGGATACGCACCGCCGGGGACACCACGAGGACGCCGCGGGGACACCGCAGGGATACCGCGGGGACACCAGGGACACCACGGGGACACCACGGGAACACGAACACCACGGGGACACCACGGGGACACGAACACCACGGGGACACCACGGGGACACGAACACCACGGGGACACCACGGGGACACCACGGGGACACGAGCACCAGGGACACCACGGGAACACCACGGGAACACCACGGGAACACGAACACCACGAGGACACCACGGGGACACGAACACCACGGGGGCACGAACACCACGGGGGCACGAACACCACGGGGGCACGAACACCACGGGGACACCACGGGGACACCACGGGGACACCACGGGGACACGGACACCACGGGGGCACGAACACCACGGGGACACGAACACCACAGGGACACCACAGGGACACCAGGGGGACACCACGGGAACACGAACACCACGGGGACACCACAGGGACACGAACACCACGGGGGCACGAACACCACGGGAACACCACGGGGACACCACGGGGACACGAGCACCAGGGACACCACGGGGACACCACGGGAACACCACGGGGACCCCTCGAGAGCACGCACACAACGCGAATTAGCGCACATGCGCACAGGGGATCGCACGCAGTTGGCACAGGCGCGGGGTATCAATGTCGCCACCACTGGTAACGCGTGACGGTGCACGGTGGTGATAACGCGTGACGGTGCACGGTGGTGATAACGCGTGACGGTGCACGGTGGTGGTAACGCGTGACGGTGCACGGTGGTGGTAACGCGTGACGGTGCACGGTGGTGGTAACGCGTGACGGTGCACGGTGGTGGTAACGCGTGACGGTGCACGGTGGTGGTAACGCGTGACGGTGCACGGTGGTGGTAACGCGTGACGGTGCACGGTGGTGGTAACGCGTGACGGTGCACGGTGGTGGTAACGCGTGAAGGTGCACGGTGGTGGTAACGCGTGACGGTGCACGGTGGTGGTAACGCGTGACGGTGCACGGTGGTGGTAACGCGTGACGGTGCACGGTGGTGGTAACGCGTGACGGTGCACGGTGGTGGTAACGCGTGACGGTGCACGGTGGTGGTAACGCGTGACGGTGCACGGTGGTGGTAACGCGTGACGGTGCACGGTGGTGGTAACGCGTGACAGTGCACGGTGGTGGTAACGGGTGACGGCGCGCGTGGTGCCACCTGCGCCGGCAGGTGGTGGTGTGTGTGTCGAGCGCGCAGGGCAGCGTGGTGGAGTGCTGGTCTCTGCGCAAGGAGGGGCTGCCCCTCAACAAACTCTTCCAGCAGATCCCCTCCCTCGGTGAGCGCGGGCGGACGGGGGAGGGCACGGTTGCTGGGGGAGAGCGAGGAGGGGAGAGTGGAGTGCATTACATCTCGTTGAAAATGTACGCGGGTCCTAAGTGCGACCGGTGTCAAGAGCTTGTACGGACAGTTTAACACGTAGTGGTAGTAGTAGTAGGCTTTCGCGACGAATATTAGCCATAATAGAGATTTTTTTGGGTTAAACCGCGTAAATATAAATGTGTAGTTGAACCCGCCGCCGCCACCCAACACGGCCACTTAGGAAGGGCTTGTCACGGAAACAAAACGTGCCAATTAGTTTATAGTTCAGAATACCCGGTGTGTCGGAGAGTAAATCCACAACATTTACAATTCGAGTAACTAATTGGCACGTTTTTTTTTTGCATGACAAACCTTACTAAGTGGCTGTGTCGAGTGGTGGTGGTGATGGTGGCGGGTTTTAACGGCACACATATTTACGCGATCTGTCACCAAACAAGAAAACCTTTATTGTGGGCCATACAGACAGAGCAATGCGCTCACCACCTACCGCTCGCCACTATCGCTCACCACCCGCTGCTCTGCGTGCGCGCTTCGCGCTTGTCGGTGCCAGGAGACAAGCAGCCGAGCGTTCAGAAGTGGCGCATCCTGTCCACTACGAGCGACCTGGAGCGCGTGAGCTCCGTGGCGCTGCCTCGTCTGCCCATCTCCCTCTCCAGCGCCGACATGAAGCTCGCCGGGGACACCAAGTTCTTCCCCGGGCTCGGTAACCAGCGGCGGCACGTCCGGCAAAACCACCACCATCATCATCGTCATAATCTATTAAAACTATTACACAGTTTTCTATTTTACCAGGTAAGGCCGACTACTGAGCTTTCTATAGCTCTCTTTCAGAAGCGGCCTGGCTGCCACAAATTATAACTCGACGAAGTGGGCTCATCATCACCGTCGCGTGGGAATTTATAGCAGCAGCCAAATACTTTAAACGCGTGACGTTGATTTAAATGTGGAGGGAAAAACCGGAGGACCCCAAGGCAAATCCAAGCCACCACGGGGGGAGAGACCCGCAAAGTCCAAATATACAGCAGGTGTCAGGGTCGGGTTTCAATCCACGACTTCCTGCATACCAGGCGAGGGAGTTAACATCTCGTAACCGTGGCACCCCTAATAATCGGTGGCACAACTGTGATCGACACCACCACCAGCACACCGTCGCGACCTTCTTAACCATCGGCATCGTCATACCCTCTTCCCGATCACCGGCACAGCTACAATGATTACCAAAGACAAATATCACCCTCATAGCCTTAACAAACTGCTGGGGCAAGTGCTGTTAGCGAGCAGCACCTATGAAGGCCGCACCAGGTACTCGGTTGAGTTGGTCGCGAGCGGCGGGAAATCAAACCAGCGCATCACGCCATCCACTGCGCCACCGCTCCCCACGGTCCATCACCTTCACATCCACCAGCACCGCAACCCATCGGCACCACCAGCAACATCTACGGCCCACACGCATCGCCGCCGGCACCATCGCCAGCACTGGTGTGGTAGTGGCCACCCCACCCCCCCGATCGTGTGCCGTGCCAGCCTTCGGTAGGCGCTGCTACTCGCTGGCGACCAGACAGCGCTTTGCCCAACAGCCTGTCCGAAGGCTGTAACCAGGGTGGGTACCTGTGTCTGTTGCGCGCGACGCCAGGCTTGGTGCTGGCGTTCTGCGACGGCTCGGTGCACGTGCTGCACCGCCTCACGCTGCAGAAGCTCTGCGCCTTCTCCCCGATGGGGGGCGGCGGCGGCGCGGGTGGCGGCGGCGGCGGCGGCGGCCTCGGCGGCCTCGGCGGGGTCGGGGGAATGTCGAGGGGGGGCCCGGGGGTGGGCGGGGGCCCCGGCGTCGTCGGGGGCTCGGAGGAGCCGCCCATGAAGCGGGGGAGAGGCGCGGGGCCCCACCAGGCGGCGCACTTTTCGGCGGTGGCGCTGTCGCCCTCGTGCTGTGCCCTGCTCGCCGTGGAGAACAGCGGCAAGGTGAGGGGTGGGCGGGGGGGGGGGGGGGAGAGGAGGGGCTGTTGCATCACCACGCTGCCCTGACCCTAACCTCAACCCCTGACCCTAACCTCAACCCCTGACCTTACCCCGAACCATGACCAGAACCTTTAATCTTTAGCTCCTAACTGACCCTAACCCAGACCGGAACCGTGACCTTAAACTTGATCAAGATGCTGGTGCATTCTCCCAGTCATCTCAGGCAGCCAACCCACGGCACCTGGGTCTGTCCCGTGACCTCCTGCCGGCGAGCCTTCGACACTTCACGTGGCCTCGAAGTGCACCTGGCCTGGCACGGGTGCCGTGGTGATGTCGCCGTCACTTAGTGGCGAGTGACGGTTGCTGCTGTTGTCTCTTGTCCACCTCTGACCTCCGCGACCCCATGTATCCGCCCCCCCCCCCCCCCCCGCGGCGCGCGTCACTCCCGCGTGCAGGTGAGCGTGTCGCGCGTCTCCCCGTGGCTGGGCCACCCGCTGGAGGCCGGCGCGGCGCTGCGCAACCTCCTCTTCCTGCTGGAGTACGGGCTGGTGACGGGCCACGACGCCTGGGACGTGCTGCTGCACGTGCAGCCGGGCACCGCCGCGCCCCTCGCCGACCGCCTCGCCGAGGAGTACGCGCGGCAGGCCCAACCCCTGCAGCAGGTGGAATGCTGCGCCCCGGGGGGGCTGGCACGGGCGCCCGCGGTGACGTCGCCGCCGCCGCCGCCGCCGCTTCGTGGGCGAATGGCCGGGGTGTTGCTCTCCCCACCAGGCTGCTATTGAGAGGCCACACAAATTAAAACCTCCACACGGGTGTGCGAGCGTTTTCACGACGCGCCGATTATTGCCTTCTTCAGCTCGCTCGTGCGACGATTCGTTGGGAACCGCGACACTCATCGTCGGGACAGGATCCAGATGTTGACGTTACAATGGGGGCGCCACGTCGTGGGTTACGATCGCGACCCCGACGACCGCTGTGTATTTGGAGTTTGCTTGTCTCTCTCTTTTTCCCCTGATGGCGTGGATTTTTTCTCCGGGTCCTCCGGTTTCTTCCCGTCACGACGTGTTTTCGAGTGTTCGGCCGCCGCCATACATTTCCACGCGATGACGATCAGCAGCTGCCCATTTCGTGTCGGCTATCATTTGCGATGGCCAGGTCGCATCTGAAAAACAGCTCTGCTGCTACTACTACAACAGTTCAGCAGGGCCTCGCCTGGTAAAAAAAAAAAAAAAAAGATAGTTCATGGTTCGTCTCCCGTGTGCAGGCGCTGCAGACGCGCGTGCTGGCGCTGCGCGCCTGGCTCTACCGCCTGTCCCCCGGCACGGCGGTGCGCTCGGCGGACCTGCACACGCGCCTCCTGCTGCACGCCGTATCCTGCACCCTCAAGTCCCTGCTGCGCCCCACGCTGCTGCACACGCCCGACCGCGGGCCCGGCGACAGGCTCGCCGAGATCTGCAGCAAGAACACGGACACCGGTGTGCCCGCGTGCCCACGTGCCCACGTGCCCACGTGCCCACGTGCCCATGTGCCCATGTGCCCCCATGCCCACGCAGAAAGACAGTGTCTCCCCCCCCCCCCCCCCCGGATAGCCTCTAACGGACTCAACTACTTTGGTTCTTTCGGTAAAGTCACGTAGAATGAGAATAAAATAATAAATAAAATAACACAATAAAATTCTCACGACGTTTTGGCCACAACACAAGCAGCCTTCATCAGGTGAAGGGACGAGACTGTCTGGAGGACAGCGCTGGAGCGCTGTCCTCCAGACACCTGATGAAGGCTGCTTGTGTTGTGGCCGAAACGTCGTGAGAATTTTTATTGTGTTATGTTGTTTTATCAATTTATTATTTTATTCTCATTCTACGTGACTTTACCGAAAGAACCAAAGAAGATGAATCCTTGCAGTCACGAAAGCTTTAAATTGAAACTCTTAACGGACCGTTGGGGCAAGTGCTGTTAGTGAGTAGGCCGGCACGGTGTACGAAGGGAGGGGGTGGTTGGCCAGCACCACTCCCGCCCAGCCACCTTTGTCTCCCCAGTGGCGATGTTTCCTGCACACCGCACCAGGAACTCATTTGAGGCTGAGTCGACCTAGGGGAGGCCCAGGACCGGTTCAGATAATCGTCACTGATCTTTGGCAGGATCGTTGCGCAGCACACTCACCGCTACACTACCGCTCCACACACAGACACACGTACACATACACACACACACAGGGGCTGGGGAGGGGGCGCGTGCTACATCACTTACCTCAACAGTCTATTAAAGGCTATACCGGGCGGGGGGACCTTTTGCCTTTGTGCACGGTGCAGACATTGACAAGGTAATGCTGAACCTGAAGACGGAGGAGTTTGTGCTGGACACGCCGCTGCTGCAGTCGCTGCAGCAGCTGATCCAGTGGGTGGCCGACTTCACCCTCTACCTGCTGGCCAGCCTGCCCAACCAGGTACCACAGCCGCCAGTGTGGCTAGCGGCCCCGCACCACTATATCGGGCACTTCTGTACGGGATAGAGCGTTGCCCCCTCGCACGCTCGCACTCCTCAAGGAGGTGCCGCGCCCTGACTCTCCGTGCAGCCCAATTTTCCTCCCACGTGTAATAAACACTCATCATTGATTGGCTGAAAACATCTTAATATATGGAGGGCAGTTTTTGGCAGCGCTGCCGGCTACTCGCCGCCTGGCTGCTGCCACCTTCTGCCTCGTTGTCTATGCTTCTTGGGCGATTGCGAGACACTCGCGCTGCATGTGAAACTAAACATTATTCAACATGATCGTCATGTAACCTGGTGTGTTTTGGCGTGCCGTGGTGATCCGGTGTGCCGTGACGGTGCGTTGCGTGTGCCGTGACGGTGTGTGCCGTGATTGTGCTCGTGCCGTGACGGTGCTTCGTGTGCCGTGACGGTGCTTCGTGTGCCGTCGCCAGGGCTCGATCTCGCGGCCCGGCGTGTCCTTCCTGCGGGACGGCCCGGCGCTCGCGATGCTGCGGGAGCTGCTGGTGGTGGTGCGCATCTGGGGGCTCATGAACCACGCCTGCCTCCCCGTATTCACCGCCACCTCGGACACGCAGGACTCCCTCTCGCTGCTCTTCAAGCTCCTCACCAAGCTCTGGCTCTGCTGTAAGTGCGGTGAACGCGCGGGGGGTACGCGCGTGGTACGTAAACGTGCATCTGTACACCGAACACAAAGATCCCCCGTGTAGCCGCCTTTAGCGCACTGTTGGAGCCAAGTGCCAATTTGTACAAGGGCCGGCCACTGCACACATTTGTCTCCCCAGTGGCGAGACAGAGCTGGGCCGACCTCAGGGGTGAGGCCCACGACCGGTGTAGATTATTCGTCGCCAGTGTTGGCCGCGGGTACGAGTGAACTATTTGAACAATTTTATTTTACCAGCTAAGGCCCACTGAGCTACGTAGCTCTTTTTCAGAACCGATCTCGCTATCACAAATGATGGCTCAAATAAGTGGCTTATCACGTGGAAATTTATAGCAGCAGCCAAATACTCTAAATGTGTAATGTTGATTCTAAATTTGGAGGGAAAAACCGGAGGACCCGGAGACAAATCCACGTGGCCACAGGGAGAGACACGCAAACTCCAAATATACAGCAGCAGCAGCAGGCATCGTCAGGGTCGGGATCGAACCCACAACCTCCTGTATACCAGGCGAGGTAGTCAACATCTCCTAGCCACCGTGGCGCCCACAACGTATTTGGCTGCTATAAATTTCCACACGATGATGAGCCACCTCGAGTACCCGGAGAAAAATTTACGCAAACCGTACGCTGACCCGCTGCGTCCCCGCGCACTCACCGAGCCGGTGGCCTCCATAACCTCCCCCTCGCCCCGCGCGCCTCGGGCAGGCCGGGATGAGGGCCACGGGCTGGAGCCGGACGACGGCCTGCTGGACGAGTGCTGCCTGCTGCCCTCGCACCTCGTGCTGCCCTCCGCCGACTGGCTGCCCTCGCCGGACGGCGTGTCGGGCCGCCTGCCGCCGGGAAAGCCGCCGTCGCGCGTCGCCTTCGGCCGCGGCATCGCCTACGCCGGGCAGCCGGGGCCCGTGCCCGTCCACACGCACGTGCTCGCCCGGTGAGCGACGCCGCCGCCGCCGCGGGCCGCCGCGGGCCGCCGCGGGCCGCCGGGACCCGACGGCCGTCGCCGCCGGGGTCGCGACGGCAATGAGCGTCGCCGTATTGGATCGTCGCGCTCGCCGGATCCCGTGGGCTCGGTTGGGGGGGGGGGGGGGGGGGGGACGCCACGCGTTCCCGGCGCTCGCCGCACCTCGGGCGCACGTGCGGCGTGGTGGCTGTTACATCGGCGGAATTTCCCCGTCCCCTCCCTCGACCTCGCCAGGTCCCCGGGTCACCAGAAGCTGGACAACCTGCGCCGAGTCAACCTGGGCGTGAACCCCACCGAGGACATCAAGGTGTGCACCAGGTGAGTGGCGACGCCGACTCCCCTTCCCTGCCCCCCCTGCAGCGCCCCTCCCTGCCCCCTTCCCCCGTCCCGGCTCCCCCCCCCCCCTCCATGTAGTATAGGAAGTTACATTTTATTGTGCAGGGTAACCGAGGACCTGTTGTTGTTGTTTTGATGTGGTCGGGACTTGTTGTTGTTGTCTTGGTGTGGTCGGGACCTGTTGTTGTTGTCTTGGTGTGGTAGGGACCTGTTGTTGTTGTTGTCTTGGTGTGGTCGGGACCTGTTGTTGTTGTTGTTTTGATGTGGTCGGGACTTGTTGTTGTTGTCTTGGTGTGGTCGGGACCTGTTGTTGTTGTCTTGGTGTGGTCGGGACCTGTTGTTGTTGTCTTGGTGTGGTCGGGACCTGTTGTTGTTGTTGTCTTGGTGTGGTAGGGACCTGTTGTTGTTGTTGTCTTGGTGTGGTAGGGACCTGTTGTTGTTGTCTTGGTGTGGTAGGGACCTGTTGTTGTTGTTTTGGTGTGGTCGGGGCCTGTTGTTGTTGTTGTTGTCTTGGTGTGGTCGGGGCCTGTTGTTGTTGTTGTCTTGGTGTGGTAGGGACCTGTTGTTGTTGTCTTGGTGTGGTAGGGACCTGTTGTTGTTGTTGTCTTGGTGTGGTAGGGACCTGTTGTTGTTGTCTTGGTGTGGTAGGGACCTGTTGTTGTTGTCTTGGTGTGGTAGGGACCTGTTGTTGTTGTCTTGGTGTGGTAGGGACCTGTTGTTGTTGTCTTGGTGTGGTAGGGACCTGTTGTTGTTGTTGTCTTGATGTGGTAAGGACCTGTTGTTGTTGTTGCCTTGGTGTGGTCGGGACCTGTTGTTGTTGTTGTTGTCTTGGTGTGGTCGGGACCTGTTGTTGTTGGTGTTGTTGTTGTCTTGGTGTGGTCGGGACCTGTTGTTGTTTTGCTGCCTTGCCTCCAAGCTTGCATTTGGTGTTGACATGTCAGTAAGGAATTCACGTACTTGTGCAATTTGTACTTCGTGCCTTTATTTATATTTCGTCACTTGCTTTACCTTTTCTGTATTTATCACTCCTGTCCTCGTTGTTGTTGTTGCATTCTCTGTTATAACTTCCTGACAACCCGTGCCCCCCCCCCCGACTGGATATCTGTGAAAAAGAGGTTTGTAGCTCATCGGATTCCTCATCCTCCAGTCGAAAAAACTAAAACTTATTTTATTTTACTAGGTTAGGCCCACTGAGCTATAATTGCTCTTTTTCAGAAGCGACCCTAAGCACAAATCGTAGCTCAACGTAGTGGCTTATCATCACCACGTGGAAATTTATAGCGGCAGTGGCCAAATACACGTGACGTCGATTATAAACGCGGGGGGGAGGGGGGGGGAACCGGAGGGACCCCCGGAGAAAAATCCACGAGAGCGAGATAGAGAACCGCGCAAACTCCACATCGTCGGGGGTCGGGATCTGGAACCCCACCACCAGCTCGCACGCCAGGCGACGGGTCGGCTGACGTCGCCACCCCTCCTCCTCCTCCCGTCACCTCAGGTGCGGATGCATCGCCATGCTGCGCTCGCTGAGCAAGGTGCAGGCGGCGGGGCCCTTCAAGTGCTGGGAGCAGCGCTGGGTCCGCAGCTGCCTGTGCGGCGGCCTCTGGAGGAGGGTGCCGCCGTTCGTGCCGTGACGACGACGAGGGAATGGACGCTGCGGCGCGGCGTCTCACGGCGACACTGGGGGGGGGGGGTGGGGAGGTCTCTCAGGGTGGGACAGACCCCCCCCCACCAACCCCCCCTTGCCCGCCCCTCTACCCTCACCCCCCCTTACCCGCCCCTCTACCCTCACCCCCCACTTGCCCGCCCCTCTACCCTCTACCCCCCCTTGCCCGCCCCTCTACCCTCGCCACCCCTTGCCTGCCCCTCTACCCTCTACCCCCCCTTGCCCGCCCCTCTACCCTCGCCACCCCTTGCCTGCCCCTCTACCCTCACCCCCCACTTGCCCGCCCCTCTACCCTCACCCCCCCTTGCCCGCCCCTCTACCCTCTACCCCCCCTTGCCCGCCCCTCTACCCTCTACCCCCCCTTGCCCGCCCCTCTACCCTCACCCCCCACTTGCCTGCCCCTCTACCCTCACCCCCCCTTGCCCGCCCCTCTACCCTCTACCCCCCCTTGCCCGCCCCTCTACCCTCACCCCCCACTTGCCCGCCCCTCTACCCTCTACCCCCCCTCGCCCGCCCCCTCTACCCTCTACCCCCCCTTGCCCGCCCCTCTACCCTCTACCCCCCCTTGCCCGCCCCTCTACCCTCTACCCCCCCTTGCCCGCCCCTCTACCCTCGCCACCCCTTGCCCGCCCCTCTACCCTCACCCCCCCTTGCCCGCCCCTCTACCCTCAACCCCCACTTGCCCGCCCCTCTACCCTCACCCCCCCTTGCCCGCCCCTCTACCCTCTACCCCCCCTTGCCCGCCCCTCTACCCTCACCCCCCACTTGCCCGCCCCTCTACCCCCCCTTGCCCGCCCCTCTACCCTCACCACCCCCTGCCCGCCCCTCTACCCTCACCCCCCCTTGCCTGCCCCTCTACCCTCACCCCCCCCCCGTGTTGCTGGCGAGGAGTGAAGCCTCTCTCTCAAGACGTGCATCGAGAGTTGATGCCTGCTGTGTATTTGGAGTGTTGCACGTCACTCTGTCTCCCTCCCCCCCACCGTGGTCGCGTGGATTTGTCTCGGGGGGGAGGGGAGGATCCACCGTTTTGTTTTTTCCATTTCCTCCACTTATTGAGAATCGACGTCGCGTTTGTAGTATAAGAATGGCTCGGCTGCGGCGTGGATCGAAGAGTCGGCGGAGGGAAGCGGAGTCGAGGGGAGGCGGGGGGGGTGGGATTTGGCAGGGGTAGCAAGAGAGAGGCGTTGGTCCGTGTCCTCCTGAGGGTGCCAGTGAGGAGGAGGGGTGGGGGCAGAACCTCCCAGGAGCTGCCGGTCAGCGTCCGGGGGCGGAGGATGCGAGCGAGGTCACGTGACGCTTTGTACAAAGGAAAAATAAACTCGCGTTTTTTCACCATGTTTGTAATAAATAACTTGCCGATGTCCCCGTTTACTTATGCTTTGAAATACTGAAATGTCCAAAGAGTGGTCAAATGTTTGCTTGTGTTGAACCTAAATGAGGTGCACTCCTAGGAAGGCCATGTGGATGTTTTGGCCACTACCGGTTACATTGTTATGGGGTTTTATAGTTATGGGAGGAAACCGGAGAACCCACTCACTCTACAGAACAGGGGGAGATCATACAAATTATACTCACTGTCACACACTGCAGAACAGGTGAACACGCAAACTCCACTCGCTCTCACACACTGTAGAACAGGGGGAGAACGTGGAAACACCACTGTAAAACGGGGAGAACATACAAGCTCCACTCACTCTGTAGAACAGGGGGAGATCATACAAACTCCACTCTGCAGAACAGGGGGAGATCATACAAACTCCACTCTGTAGAACAGGGGGAGAACATAAAAACTCCACTCGCTCTCACACACACTGTAGAACAGGGGGAGAACATACAAACTCCACTCTGCAGAACAGGGGGAGAACATACAAACTCCACACTGCAGAACAGGGGGAGAACATACAAACTCCACTCTGTAGAACAGGGGGAGAACACACAAACTCCACTCTGTAGAACAGGGGGAGAACATACAAACTCCACTCTCTGCAGAACAGGGGGAGAACATACAAACTCCACTCTGCAGAACAGGGGGAGAACATACAAACTCCACTCACTCTGCAGAACAGGGGGAGAACATACAAACTCCACTCACTCTCACACCACTGCAGAACAGGGGGAGAAACGCACCAACTCCGCACAGAAAGTTGCCCGAGTCAGGAATCGAACCTAGAGGCTCTTCTTGCTGTACCGGTGCGAGTGTCCCCGCTACGCCTCCCTGCGGCGCGACACGCTCGCGGGGATACTTTTGGCTTCAGAATAACGACGCGGACGTCAAGGAAGGGTCAAAGCTTTAATCCAACCGTGCATCCAACTACTCGAAGGGGGCTTTCATCAGTTCACACATCCACACCTTAACAGAGGAAAAAAAAAGAACCGCCGTATAGCCTTAAGACTGTTGGGGCAAGTGCCATTAGTGAGCAGAACCTAAGAAAGGCCGGTACGGCACACGATGTGGTGAGTGGCCAGTGAATACGCCCGGCCGCCTTTGTCTCCCCAGTGGCGGTGTTTACACACTGCACCAGGTACTCATTGCATGCTGAGTCGACCTATGGGAGGCCCAGGACCAGTTTAGATAATACTCACTGGTGTTGGCTGTGAACGGGAATCGGACGCAGGTGGCCGGGTTTGTAGCGCATGGTGCTAACCGCTAAACTACCGCTCCCCACAGATGCACACACGTATGCATTCGTATGCACACACATGCAGTGTGAATGAGCGAGTAGAGTTTGCGTTTTTTGCACGCAGATTGAAAACGAATTTCTTTAGAACCTCTCTTTGTGTAGCTTTCTCCTTCCCCCCACACCTCCGATGAGCGCAGTTGGCTAGGTACGGTGGTGCGAAAGAAGTTCAACGTACGTACAGTCATATGCACGCTCCCACACACTCGTACCCACACGTACACTCATGCACGCACCAGGAGGCACAGATGCACACACTCGTACTCACGTGCGTACTCATGTGTCCAATACACGGTCTCGTTTGACCCACGCACACACCCACCCGCACTTATAATGCACACGCACGTACGTAGATGCGCTCGTATACACACTCGTACGCGCGCACACACGCCTACACACATCCGTGCATGCGCTCTCCTACGCACGCAACCTCAGGCACAGACATTATCGTACGCGCACAGACAACGCGCCCCCTTCCACACACCTACGTCTACACACACACGCCACGTAAGCCATCGCCCCACCCCTCGTCTTCCGTTACCACCACCTCCCCCCCCTCCCCTCACCGGCCTGGTTAAATTTGCACGCCCGGAAAGGCTCGGGGCAGCCTCCACCGGTCGCCCGGTTTGTGAGGCCGCTCGTCATAGGCCCAGGCCGAGAGGGGGGGGGGGGGGGCAGGGGGCAGGGCTCAGGGGTCAGAGAGGTCAGGGGCTTGAGAGACTGGCCGGATACACTGGCGGCCTCGTGGCTTCTCAGGAGCGCTTACAAGAACTTGGAGAGGTCCTTCTCGATCACCTGTGTGGAGCGCAACGGGGGACCAGGGCACACAGCAATGACCACACACGAACAGAGAGAGAAGAATTGGAATGTGTATACACTGCGCTCAAAACGCCATGCCGTCTGAGAACTATTTAAAACTACAACTTTTTTTTATTTCAACCGGTGGCTGTTCTGCGAGTTAAAAAAATAAGACGATGTTTATTTTTTACCACCAAGTTCTTTCCTGGACTCGCTACTCCGTGGCGTCACGTCTGGTATCGTTATCTATTAAAACTAAACTATTTTTTTATTTTACCAGGTAAGGCCCACTGAACTATGGCCACAAATGACAGCTCAACGCAGTGGCTCGTCATCACGTGGAAATGTACAGCGGCCAAATCCTCGGAAGCGCGTGTTGCACATTCTAAATGTGGAGGGAAAAACCGGAGGAGCCGGACAAAAATCTCACACGGCCACGGGGAGAACATGCAGACTCCAAATGTACAACAAGCGTCAGGGTCGGGATAGAACCCACGACATCCTGTATTACCAGGCGAGGTTGTTAACATTTCGCCACCGCGGCATCCCTATAACAACATCAATGGCTGGATCTTGTCCCGACGATGCGTGACGTAGTTGTAAACGAATCGTCGCGTGAGTGTGCTGAAGAAAGGAAAACGCTCGAACACCGTGTCGCGGTTTAATTTGTTTGGCTGTGTCGGATGGTGGGGGGGGGGGGGGTTTTGACGACAATTTTTTGGCCAGATGGTGACGTGGCCTAACCTAATTAGGCCCTTTACCTAGGCACGGCCTCGCTGAGTCTCAACACACATTGGGGCGCCACAGTGAAACGTGAACTACCTCGCCTCCTAAACAGGAGGTCGTGGGTTTAATTCCGAACCTGACGCCTCTATATTCGGAGTTTGCGTGTTCTCCCCGTGGTCACGTGGATTTTTCTCCGGGTTTTCCCTCCACATTCAGAAACGTGCGTTCAAAGGATTTGGCTGATATACATTTCCACGTGATAGGCCAGCCACTTTAGATGAACTATCATTTGTGGCCAGGACGCTTCTGAACAAGAGCTATGTAGCTCAGTGGGCCTTACCTGGTAAAATAAAAAAACAAGTTTAGACATTAATTCCATTGAGTTTGGCAGTGCATGGGGAGTGGGTGGACAGGAGGAGGTACGGGTGGGTGGTAGGGGGAATAATGCTCACCACGGGGTCGTCCATGGGCCCGTATCTCTTGGCCACGTGGCCCTCCTTATCAATGAGGAACTGTGGGGAAACAAGGGCAAACATCCCCCGCGTAGCCTTAACAGACTGTTGGGGCAAGTGCTGTGAGCGAGCAGCACCTCTGAATGCCGACACGACACACAACAGGGGATGGGTGGCCAGCACCACCCCCGCCCGCCTTTGTCTCCTCAGTGGCGATGTTTACACACCGCACCGGGTTCTCATTTTGAGGCTGAGTCGACCTAGGGGAGAAGCCCATGACCAGTTCCGATAATCGTCACTGGTGTTGGCCGTGAGCGGGAACCGAACTCGGGCCGCCAGGCTCGCAGGGCGCTGACCGCTGCGCCACCACTCCCCGCCACGAGGTGCACCGGACAACCATGCAACAAGATGACAAAGCGTACAACGACAACAGCTCCCCCCCCCCCCCCCCCGCGTCGCCTTGACAGACTCGGCGGGGGGAGAGGGGGCAAGTCCTGTTAGCGAGTAGCCACAATGTAAAGACTTTCACGGCACGGGGTGGCGTGACCAGCACAACGCCCGGCCGCCTTCAACTCCCCAGTGCCGATGTTCACGCGACGTACGACGCTGCAGTGGGAGCAGGGGTTGTCCGAGCTCCCCACCCTCCCCTTCTCTCCTCGCCGGCGCGACGGAAGTATAAATACCCCAGCCTAACCGAGGTTTCATACCGGCCGCCCTTCCCTATTTAACTTCTGTTCAACACTCCACGAGCGGGGGAGGGGGGGGGCGGGGACGGACAGTGGGTGTCTGCGCTGCAAGGGTGCGAGTTTGATGACGTAGGGTGTGACGATGATTGTGTAGCGTGCGAGTGTGATGATGACGATGATTGTGTAGCCTGCGAGTGTGATGATGACGATGTTGTCGTCGCCTGCGAGTGTGATGATGACGATGATCGTGTAGCCTGCCAGTGTGATGACGATGATTGTGTCGCGTGCGAGTGTGATGATGACGATGATTGTGTAGCCTGCGAGTGTGATGATGACGACGATTGTGTAGCCTGCGAGTGTGATGATGACGACGATTGTGTAGCCTGCGAGTGTGATGATGACGATGATTGTATAGCCTGCAAGTGTGATGATGACGATGATGGTGTAGCCTGCGAGTGTGATGATGACGATGATTGTGTAGCCTGCGAGTGTGATGATGACGACGATGGTGTCGTCGCGTGCGAATGATGATGACGACGATGATTGTGTAGCCTGCGAGTGTGATGATGACGACGATGGTGTCGTCGCGTGCGAGTGATGATGACGACGATGGTGTAGCGTGGGCTACGCGAGTGAGCGAGTGAGCGGGTGCGAGGCGAGACCACGGCGCGTTGTTGCGTGGCAGGGCCTTACTTTGGTGAAGTTCCACTTGATGTTACTGCCGGGGGGAGGGGGAAGGGAGGTCGCACAGAGAGAGAGATCTCATTAGGCCCACCAACTCCTTTAAATGTGCCGTGGGCGCAGCCGCGACTACACCGCCACCGTTGCACGCCAGACCGCTGCCGCCGCACCACTGCCGCCACACGAGAGACCGTAACACTAAATACCACCACAACACGACCACCGCCACACTAATCACCACGCTATCCCCCACCATATTAAACAACACGTTGGCGTGCCATGCCAGCCCGTTGTGAAGGGGTGGCAGGTTCGCCATGCCGTGGTGTGCCGTGGTGTGCCGTGGTGTGCCGTGGTGTGCCGTGGTGTGCCGTGGTGTGGCGCGCTACACTGTGTCGCGCAACGTGCAGCGCCACGTACTTCCCCAGCGTGCCCTTGCCGTTGGGCTGGCTCTTCATCCAGCGCCACAGCGGGTGGGCGCCGTCCCCGTTCACCTCCACCTTGCTGTAGAGGTCAAACTTGACCGAGTACGTGCCCTCGGCGAACGCCTTTATCTCCGCGTCCGTGCCCGGCTCCTGTGGGCGCAGCCAGCGATGAACCCCGGTGAAGTCGGCGGGCACGGAGAGCGGTGCCGTGACCGGGTATGGCGGGCGCGGGGATCGGAGGCTGTAGGGACCCCGTGGCGTTGTAGGGGATGCAGCAGAGATTTGAGGGATCGGAGGGATCGGGTTGAAGGAGTTTGGTTTAAGGGGGTATCGGGGTTTTACGCATCAGGGGTTTGAAGGGATCCGAGGGGTCTTGAGGGATAACGGGGCAGCAGGGGTTTCATCGTATCGGAGATTTAAGGGGGGGGGGGGGGAGGGTGGCTGTGCCCGGCTCGGAGATGTCACCGGCACACCACATCGAGTAGACTTTGTGGCTTTGGGGCTATGGCTACATAGGGGTGGGGGCGGCTGGGGGGGGGGGGGGGGGTGAGGAGTGGGGGGTGGGAATGGGTGGTGGGGGTGGCTGGAGGGTGAGGAGTGGGAATGGAGTGTGGGGAGAGTGGTGAGTGGGGGGGGAGGTGAGTTGCAGTGGGGGGAGTGGGGATGGGGGGGTCACGGACCTGCCCACCAAACTGGTTGCAGGGGAAGGCGAGGATGCGGAGGCCGTGTTCCCCCCCAGCGAGCCGGGCGTGCATGTCGGCCAGCTGGATGTAGTTCACGGGCGTCCGCCCTCACTTGGTCGCCACGTTCACCACGATGCAAACGTGACCCCTGTGTGGGGGGGGGGGGCACGCAGGGGGGGGGGGGGGGAGGTCGGGGAGGTCGGCGTCACGGTGGCGAGGAGATGTTAACTACCTCGCCTGGTATACAGGAGGTCGCCAACTGGTGCCATCGCGCCATCTCGCGTGCGCGGTACACGCGCAAACGACGACAAAGATCCCCCGTGTAGCCCTAACAGACTGTAGAGGCAAGTGCTGTTAGCGAGCATCTATGAAGGTCGGCACGGCACACGAGGGGGTGGGTGGCCACCACCACGCCCGGCTGCCTTTGTCTCCCCAGTGGCAATGTTTACACATCGCATCAGGTACTCATATGTGGCCAATTCGACCTAGGGGAGGCCCAGGACTGGTTCAGATAATGGTCACTGGTGATGGCCGTGAGCGGGAATCGAACCCGGGTCGCTAGGTTCGTAGCGCAGCGTAGCGCTAACCGCTGCACTACCGCTCCCCACACACACACACGTACATACGCACACATATACACATGTTAATGTAGACATGCACACATTAATGCATAGCATAATCATGAGCCACGGTCTATCCACTGCTGGATGAAGAACCTCCCTGCGTCCTCGCAATCTGTCGCGTCATAACATGCCATCATCCCGCACGGGCAGATAAAGTGGGAAAACCACTTTGTGGCCGCTCAAGCAGTGGGGTCACCCATCCCACAGAGGGAGTAGGACTGTGGACCCCGCCAGAGGAATGTGGAATTGCTTGGCAGTGGCTACCTGTACTTGTCGAGAGAGACCTTGGCACCGTCGATGTCAGTGGCGCTAAACTCGTACAGACTCTTGGCCTCCTTCCACGACTCAGCTGCTGACGAGGCCTGAGGGGGGCACGGGGTGAGAGGGAGACACGCCGGGTGAGAGGGAGACACGCGGGGTGAGAGGGAGACACGCGGGGTGAGAGGGAGACACGCGGGGTGAGAGGGAGACACGCGGGGTGAGAGGGAGACACGCCGGGTGAGAGGGAGACACGCGGGGTGAGAGGGAGACACGCGGGGTGAGAGGGAGACACGCGGGGTGAGAGGGAGACACGCGGGGTGAGAGGGAGACACGCGGGGTGAGAGGGAGACACGCGGGGTGAGAGGGAGACACGCGGGGTGAGAGGGAGACACGCGGGGTGAGAGGGAGACACGCGGGGTGAGAGGGAGACACGCGGGGTGAGAGGGAGACACGCCGGGTGAGAGGGAGACACGCGGGGTGAGAGGGAGACACGCGGGGTGAGAGGGAGACACGCGGGGTGAGAGGGAGACACGCCGGGTGAGAGGGAGACACGCGGGGTGAGAGGGAGACACGCGGGGTGAGAGGGAGACACGCCGGGTGAGAGGGAGACACGCGGGGTGAGAGGGAGACACGCGGGGTGAGAGGGAGACACGCCGGGTGAGAGGGAGACACGCCGGGTGAGAGGGAGGCACGCGGGGTGAGAGGGAGACACACGGGGTGAGAGGGAGACACGCCGGGTGAGAGGGAGACACGCGGGGTGAGAGGGAGACACGCGGGGTGAGAGGGAGACACGCCGGGTGAGAGGGAGACACGCCGGGTGAGAGGGAGACACGCGGGGTGAGAGGGAGACACACGGGGTGAGAGGGAGACACGCGGGGTGAGAGGGAGACACGCGGGGTGAGAGGGAGACACGCGGGGTGAGAGGGAGACACGCGGGGTGAGAGGCAGACACGCGGGGTGAGAGGGAGACACGCCGGGTGAGAGGGAGACACGCGGGGTGAGAGGGAGACACGCCGGGTGAGAGGGAGACACGCCGGGTGAGAGGGAGACACGCGGGGTGAGAGGGAGACACGCGGGGTGAGAGGGAGACACGCCGGGTGAGAGGGAGACACGCGGGGTGAGAGGGAGACACGCCGGGTGAGAGGGAGACACGCGGGGTGAGAGGGAGACACGCGGGGTGAGGGGTTCACCCCTTACCCCAGATTCTAACCGGAACACCTCACCCTAACCTACTCCACCGCCGCAACCAAAGCCGCAGCTGCAGCTGCTCACAGCCAGCCCTGGCTTGGACAAGCGGCTCACGATGGAGCCCAAGCTCCTGGCTTGGGCTCACGCACGCACACGGTCGACTGCAATGCAAGCGTACGCCGACTCGTGCGATTTCCATGTGCTCTGAAGAAGGGTCGATGCCCGAAACGTCGCCTATTATATACAGTACATATTTTTTTATATGTACGTGTGTGGATATAATATAGTTTATGTACTTTGTGTACAGTATATGTACGTATACTACGGTGTATCCCTATATGGTTGTATCTAGGATAAGGGTACAGTATATAAGAATTCGCAGTGTATATGCATGGTCTATGGTATTTCAAAACCTGTCAACCCCATATCAGTGCTCGACCTTATTACAGACCAATTCACACCTTGTTGGTCACCCCGTGCCCTTTATAAATCTCGACGTTCATCCTACAAAGTCCCATCACAAGCAAAGCAACACGAACACATAGACAACGTGTTGTTGTTGTTGTTGCCCGCGTTGAAACGGCTGTACGCCGCACGGACCAGAAACACTCAATTTCCCTGGACAAGAATCCTGGGTATAAACATTATGGGTTGTGACACATACGGTATGTATTTGTAGTGTATTACGTGTACGGTATTTGTATATGGTATTTGCATGGCATACGTGCATGGTATTTGTGGAATACATGATATCAGCATGGTATAAGTGTATGGTATTCGCGTGGTAGAGTATACATACTTAGGGGCCATCCATATAGTGCGTACGCATGGAGGGGGGGGGGGGTTAACCCAAATGCGTTCGCTTGCGTATGGGGGGGGGTCTACTGACAATATGCGCACGCATAGGAAAGGGGCCGTCCATAAATGACGTCACGCGATTTTTGACCCCCCCCCCCCACTCGTCACACGGCGTCACAAAAAGTCAGACCCCCTCCCCTCAAATATGACGTCACAAAGCTCTGCCCCCCCCCATCCCCCCACAAAATAATAAAACATGCTTCAAATCGCTTTAAACTATTGTCATTGTAGTGCGTATTTAATGTGGCGCTGCACTCTGATGTTGTAGGAGAAAACATTTATTAAAAAGTCTATTTAATTAAGTAGAACGTGCTGTCTATATTTATTTAAAGTTGCGCATTTTGATGTGACGTCACATTTCTCAAACACCCCCCTCCTCGTCACACATCGTCACAAATGTCTGACCCCCCCTCCTCCCCCAGGTGCGTGACGTAATTTATGGACGGCCCCAAACGGTGGGGGGGGGGGGGGATGAAGCCTCGATAATAAATTTCGATTTAAAGCTTTCGTGACTGCAGGGATTCATATTCTTGATTCTTTCGGTAAATAAAAAATAAAACAATTAAATTCTCACGACGTTTCGATTGCAACACAAGCAATCATCATCAGGTGTGAAAACCACACCTGATGATGATTGCTTGTGTTATTTTGTCTGCATGGACCTTAAAATTAGTTAAAGAGTCCGGTGGTGGACGATCTGTTTGCTTAAACACGTTAATATTATTAATCCTTGATCGTTTCTGCGTGGATTAAATAGCTGCCGTTCTATAGGATTCGTGGGGGGGGGGGGTGAAGTTTTGACAGATTTTTGCTACCTACTAAATGTATGGCCCCTGAGCGAGTGTGCATGTGGCAGTCCCCGTGATCCACTTACACGGGGGCCAGTAACTGTTCAGGTCAAATCATAAAACACCGTCGTCGACACAATTCTTGAATTGTGCCAGGTTTAAAAAAAAAATTAAGGATGAAAAAAGAGGCGACGATGGTGATGACGACGATGATGACGGTGATGATGATGACGATGATAACGATGGTGATGATAACGATTATGATAGCGATGATGGTGATGATGATGACGACGATGGTGATGATAACGATGATAACTACAATGATGACGATGATGATGACGACAATGGTGATAACTACAATGATGCCGATGATGATGACGATGATGACGACGATGGTGATAACTACGATGACGATGATGATGACGATGAGGATAACGATGGTGATGATGACGACAATGACGGTGATGATGATGACGACGATGATGATGATAACGACGATGATGGTGATGATGACGATGGTGGTGATGATGACGATGATAACGACGATGATGGTGATGATGACGATGGTGGTGATGATGACAACGATGATGGTGATGATGACGACGATGATAACGATGATCACGGCGATGATGACGACGATGATGATGACGATGATGATAACAACGATGGTGATGATGATAACGATGATGACGATGATGACGACGACAATGATGATGACTGGAAAAGGGAATTCCAGTATGGAGCAGAGGGTGAGTGAATGGGTGGGTGAGTGTGTTGTTGGTGTGACCTCCAGTGTGGTGAGTGAGAGGGTGAGTGAGTGGATGAGTGTGTTGTTGGTGGACCTGCAGTGTGGTAAGTGACAGGGTGAGTGAATGGGTGGGTGAATGGGTGGGTGGGTGAGTGGGTGGGTGAGTGTGTTGTTGGTGTGACCTGCAGTGTGGTGAGAGTAGGCGCGTATTTACTTATGGATTATGCATGGTATCACGTGGTTGTATACTGTACTGTGTATACGAGAGTATGTATACTACAGTTACCATGCCACACGGATCGTGTGTGGTGTATACTGTATGTGTGTGGTGTATACTGTATGTGTGTGGTGTGTAGTGTATGGTGTATACTGTATGTGTGTGGTGTGTACTGTATGTGTGTGGTGTATAGTGTATGTGTGTGGTGTATACTGTATGTGTGTACTGTATGTGTATACTGTGTGGTGTGTACTGTATGCGTGTACTGTATGTGTACTGTAGTCAATGTCACCATGCTGCAGGCCACGACTGCGCCCGCTCCTTGCTTGACCGTGCGGATCACCGAGCTCAGCAACGCCTGCATCACGTGGTGCTCTCCCTCACCCCTCCCCTCACCCTTCACCCCTCCCCTCACCGCTCCCCCCCCACTCCCTCTCCCCCAATCTCACCTCACCCCTCACCTCCCCTCCACTACCCCCCCCTCACCACACCCCTCCTCCCTTCACCCCCCCTCACTCTCACCACCCCCTCACCCATGACGCCCCCACAGGCCATGTTTGGTTAGGGACACTTCACTCGTCGATTGCGTATCTCAGAATACCTCACCATCATCAGAATATTTCACCATCATCAGAATATTTCACCATCAGAATATCTCACCATCATCAGAATATTTCACCATCATCAGAATATCTCACCATCATCAGAATATCTCACCATCATCAGAATATTTCACCATCAGAATATTTCACCATCAGAATATCTCACCATCATCAGAATATCTCACCATCATCAGAATATCTCACCATCATCAGAATATTTCACCATCATCAGAATATATCACCTTCATCAGAATATCTCACCATCATCAGAATATTTCACCATCATCAGAATATCTCACTATCATCAGAATATTTCACCATCATCAGAATATCTCACCATCATCAGAGTATCTCACCATCATCAGAATATTTCACCATCAGAATATCTCCCTATCATCAGAATATTTCACCATCATCAGAATATCTCACCATCATCAGAGTATCTCACCATCATCAGAATATTTCACTATCATCAGAATATTTCACCATCATCAGAATATTTCACTATCATCAGAATATTTCACTATCAGAATATTTCACCATCATCAGAATATCTCACTATCATCAGAATATTTCACCATCATCAAAATATTTCACTATCAGAATATTTCACCATCATCAGAATATCTCACTATCATCAGAATATTTCACCATCATCAGAATATTTCACCATCAGAATATTTCGCAATCATCAGAATATTCGTCCTGGAGGAATCCGATGGGCAATGCGTTTCTAACCTAAACTAATTAAACTGAACTTTGTTATTTTACCAGTTAAAGCCCCAACCGAGCTGTATAAGCTCCATTGTCACAAGCGACCTGGCAAGCACAAACGACGGCTCAACACAGTGGCTCTTCACGTGGAAATTGAAAGCAGCGGCCACAGACTCTCAACGCGTGGTGACGTTGATTCTAAATGTGGAGGGAAAACCCCGGAGGACCCGGAGAAAAATCCACGCGACCACGGGGAGAGAGAGACACGCAAACTTCAAATATACAGCAGCAGGCGTCAGGGTCAGGAGTGAACCCACGACCTCCTGTATACCAGGCGAGGTAGTTAACATCTCACCACAGGGAGAGAGAGAGACACGCAAACTCCAAATGTACAGCAGCAGGCATCAGGGTCAGGATTGAACCCACGACCTCCTGTATACCAGGCGAGGTAGTTAACATCTCACCACAGGGAGAGAGAGAGACACGCAAACTCCAAATATACAGCCGGCGTCGTCAGGGGTCGGGATTGAAGCCACGACCTCCTTCGTACCAGGTGAGGTAGTTAACATCTCAGCACAGGAAGAGAGAGCCACACAAACTCCCTATGGGTCTCTATGTATCTCCATGGCTCTCTGTGCATCTCTGTGGGTCTCTATGTATCTTCATGGGTCTGTATGTATCTCCATGGGTCTCTATGTATCTCAATGGGTCACTGTGTCTCCATGGGTTTCTATGTATCTCCATAGGTCACTATGTAACTCTATTGGTCTCTATGGGTCTCTATGTATCTCCATGGCTCTCTATGCATCTCTGTGGGTCTCTATGTATCTCCATGGGTCTCTATGTATCTCAATGGGTCACTATATATCTCTATGGGTCTCCATGGGTCTCTATGTATCTGAATGGGTCACTATCTCTATGGGTTTCTATGTATCTTCATGGGTCTGTATGTATCTCCATGGGTCTCTATGTATCTCAATGGGTCACTATGTAACTCTATTGGTCTCTATGGATCTCTATGTATCTCCATGGGTCTCTAAGTATCTCTGTGGGTCTCTGTATACAAAAAAAAATCTCAATCTTCTTGCGTATGGCATATTGTTCAGGAGCTAAAGTCTAATGTAAGCCATGGCGAGAGGACTTAAAAGAGAGCGTTATTGGCAATTACTAAAGAACAGCATGCGGGGTCCGTAGTAGAATACAATGCCCACCATAAATAATTGAAATCTAGACATCCTGCGTTGGCAGTGGTCTACAAACAAACAAATAACTGAACACGTTTCGTGTATCAATAAAAAGACCGTGTGTGCGGCATTAAAAGGAGGAAGGGAAAACATATCGTAAGTGACGTTTCGGGGAATGGGTCTTTTTCACGGCACATAAGCGAGTGGATGATACGAGTTGGAGACTTGGTGTGTTTACCAGATTTTTAAATCCCACCTGATGATTTAATTTGGTACACGAATAGTTACACGATTGAGTACTGAAGTTATCTGTCTTCTGGGTTCTTTCGGTAAAGTCACACAGTCACCAAAGCTTTAAATCGATCAATGAATTTCAATGCTAAATTATCCTGTTTGATTTGTACCAGGTGCCTCTGTGGATGTGTAAGCTTTGACTTTAACATAGCTATTTCTATGACCAGTCACAAGCTAATCACTCAGCTATTTCAATGCTAAATTATCCTGTTTGATTTGTACCAGGTGCCTCTGTGGATGTGTAAGCTTTGACTTTAACATAGCTATTTCTATGACCAGTCACAAGCTAATCACTCAGCTATTTCAATGCTAAATTCTCCTGTTTGATATGTAAACCCCTTTGTCAAGGTGCCTCACTTCTCTAAACCAGCTTAAAAGACGCTACGAATCTTAACAACGTTCATTGAAGCTCTGTCGTCGCGACAGGTCTGTTCCTTTCACCTGTAGAAGGCCACTTGTGTTGTGGCCGAAACGTCGTGAGAATTTTATTGTTATTTTATTTTATTAATTTATTATTTTATTCTCATTCTACGTGACTTTACCGAAAGAACCAAAGGAGATCGATCAATGAAGTTATCTATTTAAATAAATATAAAATATCCCCTGACCAGTTTTTTATTGACATGTGAATCGCCACACTAATTAGGAATCGAATACCAGGCAAACACACCAATAATAAATTTGTTAAAACAAAAAAAACCTGTTTATCGGAGGCATAGCGGTGGGGAGGGATACATTTTGAAGAGGTAACGAACTTAAAATGCCAAATTATATTCTTGGTTCTTTCGGTAAAGTCACGTAGAGGGGGAAACAATAAAATTAACACCTGATGATGATTGCTTGTGTTGCAGTCGAAACGTCGTGAGAATTTGATTGTTTTATATATTTGTATTATTTTATTGTTTCCCTTCTACGTGGTGACTTTACCGAAAGAGCCAAGAATATGAATCCCTGCAGTCACGAAAGCTTTAAATAAAAAAAATATATATTCTGTTGTGACAAAAAAAATAAGTGGCTTGTACCCTGAATCCTTGCAAGCAAGTTTCAAAGACATTGCTGATGCCTGTCCAGGAGGCGGCTTGGCACCACGCCCCGGTGACGTCATCGCCCACACAAATTGGTCACGTGTCCTGGTCCCTCACACACACCCCCCCCTTTATACCAAGATAACGGCACAGCGAAATCTTCCCCCACCCCACCCCCCGTGTGCGTCATTCCCATTGGATGTGCGGGCGACACGCCTTTAACGGCTGTGGGCCAATCGGATGCGCTCAAACTTCGCGCATCGCAATGGCGGCCGTTGTGAGCCAATCGCCTCGGAGATGAGAGCAGAGCCCCCGCCCCCCTCACCCCGCTGGAGACTGACGTCAGAATCTGATTATTTATAGTGGAGGAATCCGATGAGCTCTGAAGCTCTTGTCCAGTGATGTAGATGCAGAGCAGGTGGTCAAATCAGATAGCCACGTCAGCAGGAGCAGCGCAGTAGTAGTGTCGTCGCTGTGGTGTCTCCTTCGTATTGGTGGATCGGGCAGCGTTGCGTCGTTATCCGTTGTTACGGTCAACCAGCCACCCACTCACTCACCCACTCACTCACTCACCCACTCACTCACCCACCCACTCACTCACCCACCCACTCACCCACTCACCCACCCACTCACCCACCCACTCACCCACTCACTCACTCACCCACCCACTCATCCACCCACTCACCCACCCACTCACTCACCCACCCACTCACTCACCCACCCACTCACTCACCCACTCACTCACTCACCCACTCACCCACTCACTCACTCACCCACCCACTCACTCACTCACCCACCCACTCATCCACCCACTCACCCACCCACTCACTCACCCACCCACTCACTCACCCACCCACTCACTCACCCACTCACTCACTCACCCACTCACTCACCCACCCACTCACTCACTCACTCACCCACCCACTCACTCACCCACCCACTCACTCACCCACTCACCCACCCACTCACTCACCCACTCACTCACCCACCCACTCACCCACTCACTCACCCACCCACTCACTCATTCACTCACCCACTCACCCACCCACTCACTCACCCACTCATTCATTCACTCACCCACCCACTCAACCACTCACCCACCCACTCACCCACTCACTCATTCACTCACCCACTCACCCACTCACTCACCCACCCACTCACTCACCCACCCACTCACTCATTCACCCACTCACTCACCCACTCACTCACTCACCCACTCACTCACCCACCCACTCACTCACCCACCAGGGCCGTATTATCCAATAGGCACAGTAGGCACTGTGCCTACTGTGCCTAAAAAACAAAAACAAATGTGACCCTGGTTTTTTTGCATGCATAATTAGAGAAAGACATGTAACCAATATATCTTCTCGAATGCATATATTTATAAAACACGTGCAGGCACAGTGTTACAGACAAAGAGGAAGAGTCTTAGTCAATGACGAAGCACGCTTGAAACAAGCCGAGTGACAAGGCGCAGCAGCAACTGTTGAGAGTTGTCACCGAAGGGTCTGGTGGCCGTCCATAAATGATGTCACGCGATTTTTGACCCCCCTCCCCCTCGTCACACGGCGTCACGAAAAGTCATATCCCTCC